AAGAAAACAGACAAGGACCAAAAGAGACCCTAAAAAAAAAAAAAGAAAAAAACAGAGAAGAAAAGCAAGCCGCAGCAGCTGCAGCCCTCAGCAGCAGAAGGCAGACGTTAATCAGACCAATCCGCCACCACTGCATCTGCCTGCCGGCTTGTTCGTCGTCGTCCTCTCTCTCTCTCGCTCTCTCTGTGCGTGTGCGCTTCTTTGACCGCCCCCCCCTGCCCCCCCTCTTCCCTTCTCCTTCTTCCCCTCCCCTCCTCTCCCCCCGCTCTTCCTTGGGCCTTTCTCGCAGGCTTGGTTCAACTTGATAGTCGATAAAATGTATGAAGATGGAAAAATTGGATGTTGCGGCTGCAGTTGGACTCGTCCGGTTGGAGGTTTCGATAGAACTTGATGTTACCTCAACTTACCCACTACAGTCTTACGGTAATCCGGTACTGCAACTCTCCTCCCTTTTGCCTTTGCTCCGTATGGTCCATACCGTAACCATGATGGTAACTCGGCTTCCAGGCTTCTGCTGCACTGGGACGCCCCGGTGAGATTCAGTAGAAGTAGGAGGATCGTGACCTCTTTCTCTCCTTGACCAATTCATTTTTGATTCGGTTCATTCATTCCATACGCAGTACTCTTCGTAACCAGATCAATTCAACAATACGGAGTGCTACTCCCTTTCACTCCCACATCCCCCAAAATGCTGCCAACGCAGGTGGCCAAATGGCGAAAGCACCTGGGGCGAGACTGACGAACTGCACTGATAATCGGTAATCCTCGGTCAAGGCTGGTGATTGCCCCAGTGCATAATGAGTCAATAATACCACCGCCTGCAATCAACATCATCATCGACAGTATCAACATCATCACCGTCGTCGTCGTCTTCACGATTGACCATCGCATCCACTTTAGATTAAACCAGTCTCATTTCGCTCTTGATCTTATCATGTAATGAATCAGATTCTTGGATTCTTGGATTACTGGTGACCTCTGAAAGGGATTGATTGATTCTCAGCTAGTCGTAACCACTCACTGACTAGCCCAACCCGCTAATGACCAGCTAAACTGCTTCTCGACGGCGAACTTGTCTTTCTTACCAGTAACTCATTTACCTGCGTAATTACCCTCCCACCCCCAGAGCGAACTTCGCCCGCTCCAACTTCTCCCTCTTCTTAACAACTCTCCTCCCAATTAATCCTTTCTCTTCCTTCATCTTCTGCCCACACAACAACTCCCCTCTCCCCCCCCCCCTCTCCTAAATTACTTTCACTTCCCTCGATTCGCCTTACCTCGCTCACTCCTCCCTTCATTTCCTTCTTTATTCTCGACCAGACTTTCTTTCTCCTTCGCCGACCGTATTAACCCCTCCTCGTTAACGTCCTGTCGCCTCGCTCTTCTCACTTCGTACACCTGTCACCACTACCTCGCCTTCGTACCGTCCTGTTCTCTCTTATCGATCTTCTCAATCCACCTCGCCGTTCGCCTACGCTCTTGCTTCGTTCACGGCCATTTCTGATTCTCCAGAGAGCTTCAAAACCTACCGAGTCTCCATCAAGCGTGGTCGAGCACCAGCTTTCGCGCGCAACTGCTGGTGTAATTGACCACGGGTCCACCTGTCCGCCACGGCCCCCGAAGATGACGAGCAGAACCCCCAGAAATCGAGTGCTACCGCTATGAGTGATGTCGAGGCTGTCTCTTCCCTGCCAGCTTCCCTGGATGCCGGACAAAACGGCCTCGCTGCCAAGGTGAACCACCAGTCTACCTCGGGTCCTTTATCTTCCAAGAGACCACTCTCACCAGTGCCTCAAAGGGAATATCGTCCGATCAAAGAGGTAGACCTTGCTGTCGGGGACAGCGATGGGCCCGCTAGCCCCAAGGCTGACTCGGAGGCAGAAACCATAATTCAGTCGGGCCGTGAATCTTTATCGCCTGAGAAAAGACGGAAGTACATAAAACATGAACCGAAACGACGTGATGATGGAAACGACCATGTTGATGCTGCAGAAAGCGACCTCCCTCCCAACGATCTGCAGGTCAGAAAAAGGAAGCTAGCGGATGGTGACACTGTCGGTGAACGCGACCATCATGTGCGCCCATTGAGTCCCCTTCGTCGGAACGGGTCCCCACCCCGTGTGAAGGTCGAAAAAACTGACGAGGGTCAATGTGTCCCAATTCGACTTGAGTCATCACACCCTGCATCTTCCGTTCCTAGGGTGTCCAGAAAACGCAGCTTTAGTGAGAGTGTCGATGGAGAAGGCAATGTCCGTCGGACTGCCCGCCCAGTCAATCCAAATTCTCGCCGCGACCGGGACCGACGAGAAATTATTGACACCTTCACTGAGGTCGATGGAGAGGGGATTGTTCGTCGGATTGTCCGCCCGCATGTCCCGGCTCCTCGCCGGGACCAAGAACGACAGGAATTGAATGGCGTGTTGTTGCCTCGACCTGCATCGATTGACCGCTCTGTATCGCCTGTTCGCTCGCACAAGAGAACGGCTTCTGGTCACCAGCTGGGTAGTGAGCTGCAGCGCAAACGGAAAGCTCCTACCCCACTTCTCCCCGGCGTACAGAGGCAGAGTTCTGAAGACCGGCAGTCGGTGTCTTCGTCTACTAGCGGATCTCCTATGCCCAGTGCTCACATCCGGAAGGTGGCTTCGGTCGACGGGGCGTCCGCCTCTCCTGCCAGACCATCTGGCCACAAGAAGCAACGAGATCAGAATGGGCGCACGCGTCTTGCTCGCGCATGTGCTGCACAGGAGCTTGAAGCGGCAATCGCTCGGCATGCAGAACGGCCAGAGGATCTCAATGTGGCGGACAATGCCGGCAACACGCCGCTCCAGATCGCCGCATTGGAAGGGTGTGCATCTATTGTGAAATTTCTTCTCGAAGCTGGCTGCGAGGTCGAGACTAGAAATATCGATCGAGATACCCCGTTGATCGATGCCGTTGAAAACGGCCATCTCGACGTCGTCAAGTTGCTACTCGAGGCTGGTGCAAATCCGCGCTCTGTCAATGCCGAAGGCGATGAGCCGAGCGATCTCATTCCGTCGGACTCAGAAGATTCCGATGAAATTCGCCGTGTATTGGAGGAAGCCAAAGCGCATCCGCGCCCCAGCCGTCGCTCCGAAGAACAGACTGGATCTGGCACCAGGGAGACGTCTTCGCGGAGAGTCACCGTGGCCAGCCCGCGAGACTCACCACCTGTCAACGGACAACGCAGCCCACCTTACTTCGCTAGCACCAACAAACGCAAGAGTGTTAGAAGCGAGGCCACTCGGAATGATTTACTGTGGACAAAAGCTACACCAGAGAACCTACAAGCCTTTGCTGCCAAGGGTGATATCGCGGGAGTCGCTAACATCCTGAATGTCGGTCAACGAGCAGATGCGGAGTCAATGATCGCAGCAGCCAAGGGCGGCCACGACGAAGTTTTGTCTCTGCTATTGGGCATGGGGGACGCAGATCCAGACCCAGATCCAGTCCAGGGTGGCTCTCACAAGCCTGGATACAACACGCCTATGCTGGCCGCCATCGGACGAGGAAATTTGCCTGTGATTAAGCTTCTTCTGGACCAACCTAGCTTCAATCCCACGAGACGACTATATAAGGATCGGACTTATTTTGAGCTTTGTCGAGAACGCAGAGCGGACAACTGGGAGGAAGAATATGATCTTCTTCGCGATGCATACGACAATTATGTCCGGAACAGGAAACAGCGGAAGTCCGACATCTCCTCTCCAAGAAGGGCACGTGATAAAGACCGAGAAGTGAAGCGTTCGGGACGGAAAGAGTCGCCCTCTCCAGTGGGCAGGCCTCGGAAGCAGGTTCAGAGCCCAGGTCGTCGGGACTCTTCGAAGGATGCGCCGCCTAAAGAACGCAAGAGAGAAGGGATGGTGCATGCAAAAGAGAAACCGGGTATTCATCGTCCCAAAGTCGGACATGTTACCACGTCTGATCACGACGGTCCTCGTTCTGACATATCTAGGCCCAAGGGGCCGCCGACGAGGGACGGAGAATTTAGCCGAGGGGAGGAGCCTCCCAAGAGGAGGCGGTTGATCGCAGGGCGTCCGCCCGATCGCGATCGTAGGAGGCCTAGCATTCCCTCCTCAGATTCTATGTCTGGCCAGGAAGAAGCTCCCAAAGCACGCCCTGATCATCCTGAATCCACCACAAATAAGTCTGGACCACCGCCCTTGAAGCGTGGGCGTAGCAGCGTCAGCCCCGATCGTCCTAGGTCTCGCGATTCTGAGGCTGATCGGAACCCCCGTGAAGTTCTGAAGAAGAAGCGACGAGTCCTATCGGAAGACGGAACGCCCAACATCACCAACGGGAATCCCAAGAGAAGTCACCCAGCTGCGGAGGATCTGAAGGTCCCTCGTCGCAAAGACGATAGCCATTTGGCACCACAAGCTCGGCGAGATCAATCGCGGGAACGAGATCTCTCTGCCAAACCTGGCGAACGCAAAAATTTCAAGGTGGAGCAGGAGAAACTTGAAGCTCATGAACTGGTAGATATTCCCATGGATGATTCGTCTAGTCTCACACAAGCTGAGGCGGAGGCGACAGCCCTTCGAGAGAAGCAAGCGCAGCAAGAAAAGCAAGCGCAGCAAGAGAAGCAAGCTCGCGAAGAGGAAGAAGCACGTCTAGCCGCGGAAGCTGAAAGAGCCCGCCTGGAGAAAGAGGAGCAGGAACGTGCAGCGCGGGAGGCCCGCCTTGCCGAGGAGAAAGCCGCCGCAGAAAAGGCCGCAGAGGAGGAGCGGAAGCGGCATGAGGCAGAGGAGAGGCGGTTAAAGCAAGCCGAAGAAGAACGGCTGAAGCGACTTGAACAGGAACGTCAACGGCTGGCCAAACTACGCAAGGAGCAGGAAGAGCAAGAACAGCGTCGACGAGAAGCTTTGCCAAGTCGATTACGAGTCGCAGCCAATTTGGTTGGGTCTAATGACCCGCAAGCGAAAAGCCATGCATGGCTGCGGAAGTTCATGCCCGTTGTGACCGCCGAGACAAGACAGCTGGACCCATCTTGCGCATCGGATGTGGCCGAGGATCGATGGATCCCGAACTATCTGGTTGCACCCTTGCTGGCGACGAACGATCTTCAATTATCACAGTATGCCAGCTGGGAGAAGCGCATTGCAACTCCTACCCAGCGGACGAATCTCTGGCGGGTCACGCGAAGGATGCTTGTCCAAGCAGATGAGACGGAGTTCCTCAGCTCGTCGTTCGGACAGATCATGCAACGAGATAGTGAAGCACGGCCCAAGTACTTCGACATGGAACATGTATTTTGGCTTAAGGTAAGCTGGCGCCATGAATCTTGTTGGGCTGCACGTCGCTGACCACGATAGCTTTCCGATTTCATGGATCTCGTCCCTCATATTCCGCACCTTCACGGACTGGACATCCAGTTACTCAAGATGCATATCGACCAGGAGCCTAAGACACAACCAGCGTTTGAACTGCCGCAGGCCAATGGACATATTTCGGGGCCGCATATTGAGGAAGGTTCGGGCTTATTGGGAGGTAATGGGTTGACTAATGGCTTTGGGCACAGTCGGCCTAGTACATATGTCTAATTGTTCTTCTCAGCTTGAGCGGTCATTTAGCTTGGCGCTAGCTTGTACAGGTGGAAACTTTGATGTACGACTATGATACCTGATGTGTGATGCTTGGAAAGCGTAATACCATGATATCCCGAGATTATTCCTAAAGTACTATAAATACTCCGTAGTATTGCACGGGATCCCTGCGTCATTCAACTCGAGTCAATCTCCTTGTCCGCTTCGAGTAGGACTTGACGCCGCTTTTTGCTCACTAGGCGGCCTGGAGCGTGGGATGAGCAGAAAAGTGCGTGTCCTGAGCAGCAGCTGAGTGGGCCCAAATTCCTCTCGGAGCGTCCTCTAGAGAGAGAGTAACCCTTGCTGACCTTCTGGGTCCTGTTTCCAGCCAGCGTAGGTGCTGAGAAATTGTCCAGAGTTCGTGACAGATGCTGCTGGTTCATCTTCATCTGTCATGATTGACCATGTTTGCTTAAGAGATGTTTCGTTCACATACTCAAGTAAATGTATTTCTCATCTCCCTCTGTGCGCCACTAATAGCCTTCGAGTTGAGGAACATCGCCTAAAGGAGATGACGGACGGTATGATATGGGAACTCAGCTTCGAATATTTCAACAAAGATTCTTCCCTTACCAAGAGGCATACCTCATCAAAATGAACAGGGTATGATCTAACACATGAGACATCCATCGGTCGACTCTCCTTGGGTCTGGGGATACTCCAAGGACATGCTGCGCCTTAGCGCGTGCTCGCACTTCATTTGGTGATGGCAAACCATCCCATAAAAGATGATTCTCTGACAACAAACCGGGAGAACTGGGGACTATGAACTGTGTGCGTTCGCAGCTTTCTCCTTCACAAGTCATGATGTGTGTGATTCCAATAGGTAAGGTCCCTGGGCTATTGTACTGGTTGTTCTATAGCATCAGCTGATCACATGATCTGGGTCCTGGCTCGGGCATCAACTTAGTAACTTCCCATGTGTGCTTCACTCGTTGAGCAGCTTGCTTAGTTAAAGCGTAATGTCATGACGTGCAAGCACGGCTATTGATATTTTAATGTTATAGTGAATTAATTCCTAGACTTATAAAGGAAATATTAAAATCTATCTGTATACATAGTAAAACTAAGTTAATAGTACGTGAATTAGGTAAGTAAATAGGACTTGTGCCAAACATTTCGGTGATATCACAACCTATTGAAACTAATCCCGTCTTCCTTCCCGCCCTCCGAGTTTGTTAAAGTAAGTTTGCTTAACATTCCCTTCCAGACTTTGCCTTGAATCATCTGTGGCTTTGTACTTGTGTCTCCTTTCCTCGTCTTGAAGTATAGCTTTGTATCTATCGTCCTTCATTGTGCTCTTAAGCCTTATCGTCATACTTACCGACCGTGCCGGCGCACTGCCAACCTCAACTGTTGCACTTAACACCCCCCGCCATGAAGCTTATGCGGAGACAGTAACAGCCAAGGCATGGAGAGAACACGAGTTGCTAAGGTTGGCCCATTACAGTGAAGAGGAAGTGATGAAAGACGAACTGACGATTCTGTGTCAAATCTCTTCAGGTTGAAGATGTGACCTTGGCGCGTCGCGGTGAACAGGTCGTCGGCACACTCCATCTTACCCCTCATCATATAATCTTCTCCTACATTCCTCCCTCGACCGACAAAGTCCAACCTCCCAACACGACCGTCCGGTCAAAGGAGCTCTGGATCACATATCCGATCGTCTCCTTTTGTACTTATCGCCCCACTCCCGCCGCAGCCCGCCAGCCGTCTTCGATTCGGTTACGGTGTCGGGATTTCACCTTTGTCTGCTTCTACTTCACGAGCGAGAGCAAGGCGCGAGATGTGTACGAAACGATCAAGTGCTGGACCTGCAAGGTTGGACGGATCGACAAGCTGTATGCTTTCACTTACCAGCCGCCGCCCCCCGAGCAGAAGTTCAATGGTTGGGAATTATATGACGCCCAGAGGGAATGGGCCCGGCAGGGCGTGGACCAGGATGGCTCTGGCTGGCGGATATCTCAGCTGAATGCTGACTATGGGGTAATTACGCCCAGTAGATCTTGAAGGATTTGCACCACCCTGTTAACCATCACATCTCAGTTTTCTGCGACTTATCCTGCTCTCATTCCGGTGCCGACTACCATTTCGGATATTACGCTCAACCATGCTGGCAAATATCGGTCCAGAGCAAGAGTACCCGCTCTCACGTACTTGCACCCCGTGAACAATTGCTCCATCACACGCAGCTCGCAACCGCTGGTGGGCGTTCGGCAGAACAGAAGCATCCAGGACGAGAAGTTGCTCGCTGCGATATTCTCGACTTCGCGATCTGAACGACCGCTTGCAAATTTCACTCCGCCGAACCTAGAGGCAGAATCCTCCAGTTCGACTTCAAGCGACCAGCCCAGCAGTCAAATGCTGGCAGACATGACCAATACCGAAGAACTCGAAGATGAGATGCTGGCATCATTTGCCGGTGACCCTGAGGGAAAACCCCATATCTACGGGGCACAACAACGCAATCTGATTGTTGATGCTCGTCCCACTGTCAATGCCTTCGCTATGCAGGCTGTCGGGCTTGGGTCAGAAAACATGGACAACTACAAGTTCGCTACGAAGGCATATCTCGGCATTGACAATATCCACGTGATGAGAGATTCTCTTAACAAAGTGATCGATGCCCTCAAGGACTCGGATGTGACTCCATTGGGTCCGAACAGGGATCAGCTTGCGCGCAGCAACTGGTTGAAACATATCTCAACTGTTTTGGATGGCGCGGGCTTGATTGCCCGGCAGGTTGGGCTTCAGCATTCACATGTCCTGATTCATTGTTCAGATGGATGGGACAGGACAAGTCAGTTGAGCGCGCTAAGTCAACTGTGCCTGGATCCGTACTTCCGGACGTTGGAAGGCTTCATGGTATTGGTTGAAAAAGACTGGCTGTCGTTCGGACACATGTTCCGGCATCGAGCTGGCCATTTGAATAGCGAGAAGTGGTTTCAGATTGAGAATGAACGGATCGGGGGTGACTCGAACCGACCGTTCGGCGAGGCTGGAGGTGCAGGGAGAGCCATCGAGAACGCCTTTCTGAGCGCCAAAGGTTTCTTCAACAGGGACAACAATAGTCGTGATTCTCTTGGAGAGTCGGACGGGGAGATGCAGTCCTATGATGGAGAGAATGTGAAAAAGCCTGCAGTGCCGAGAGCAACAGCGGTAGAAAAGGAAGTGACCAAGGTGAAGGAAACCAGTCCGGTTTTCCACCAATTCCTAGATGCAACATATCAATTACTCTATCAGCATCCCACCCGGTTCGAGTTCAACGAACGGTTCCTGCGGCGGCTACTTTACCACTTATATTCGTGCCAATTTGGGACATTCCTCTTCAACAGTGAGAAGGAACGGGTAGAGTGGAACGCCAAGGGACGCACTCGAAGTGTTTGGGACTACTTTCTGGCACGGAGGGAACAGTTCCTCAATCCTGACTATGATCCGCAGATTGACGATCATAAACGTGGAAAGGAACGTCTAGTATTCCCACGGGTCAGTGAAGTACGGTGGTGGAGCGAAGCATTTGGTAGAACCGATGCTGAAATGAACGGCTCTCGGGCCCCTGCGTCGGGGCTGTCAGTGCCCCGTGAAGCCCCAAGCGCTCAACGCTCGCCAGTGTTGACCGGGATGGAGACCGCCAACCATTCTGTTGGCGCTGGCTCCGCTGGCAAAGACGTTGACAATGCCCCACCGAGCGGTGTCGCTGCTGTGACTGCGGGAATCTCGAGTTTGGCTTTCCCCAAAAGCAAAGAGAGTACCCGGGATACGAAAAGCATGAATCGTATGGAGCTTGAGCTGCAATGAAGGGGGAGAAATACCACTTTGCCTCCCAGATGATGGAAAGATGGACGCACCGCTGTCAGCTTTGGCCAGGAGGGACGATCTACAAAAGCCAGCGCCTGTTATGTTTGTTATTTAGCTATTGTTGTGTCCTTAGTCTTGCTTTTTTTGACGCTACCTCCTTTGTCTTGATTTTGCGGGCTGAGATACGATTTCAAGGTCCGATGGATAGTGCATTAGGCCAGAAGGGAAGAAAGAGACAGGCCGAGTACCATCCATGTGGGGTCTGGATATCCCCGCTGGGGCATTGAGAGCTGTTTTGAAGAAGGACCCATCGATATAGAGGATTAAGCCAGTGATAGTGCCGGAGAGTACGGTGGCTTATCTAGTCCGAGATGGTAAAGATGCGCCCAAGTGTAGCAGCTGTATAGAGCAAGAGAAAAAGAGCGAGACTTCCAGTCCAATGGTGGCTGTTTTGTTGTACTGTGTATGTAACTTAGTTGACTCTCTGCCTTAATCTGTGGATGCCTAGATCTTCAGGCTGGAACATCCCGGGGAGACTAAGCTCCTCAAGGCCCCGGAGGGGGGAAGCTTACCCGAAAAGGGAAGGTGCCCGTAAAGTAGCAAGCGAGGTTGAGCCCTAGCCCGAAAAGGGAAGAGCAAGCCCTAAAGCCAAAAACTGCCCACTATCGCCGACCTTCTCAAAACTGACTTGACCGCCGCCGACCAATTCGCCCTCGAACGACTACCCCCCCTTCAACCACCCGCGTCCTCGGCCGTTTCTTTCCGCCAATTCACCACCCAGAAACGCAAACATGGCTGCTGTCCAGGGAGCTATTTCGAAGCGCCGCAAGTTCGTCGCCGACGGTGTCTTCTATGCCGAGTTGAACGAGTTCTTCCAGCGCGAGCTGGCTGAGGAGGGATACTCCGGTGTCGAAGTCCGTGTCACTCCCACCGTCACCGATATCAGTACGTCGCCCGATTTTGATTTGCCTTGTTTTGTTTTTGAGATGGGGATTTGGTCATGGGAAAGGAAAAATGTCCTTGAGAAGGGAAAGTGGAACGCAGCACAACAATTGAATGGAAATATCATCAAAAAGAGCATGGGAATATATTTTGTTGCGCGAAGAGAATCCGACCGAACATCGACATTTTCGAAAGGAAAACATCAACCAAGGGAAATCGATCGATTGCTAACGGATGCTCTTTACATTTGCAGTCATCCGTGCCACCCACACCCAGGAGGTCCTCGGTGAGCAGGGTCGCCGCATCCGCGAGCTTACCTCCCTCATCCAGAAGCGCTTCAAGTTCCCCGAGAACTCCGTCTCCCTCTATGCCGCCAAGGTCCAGAACCGCGGTCTCTCCGCTGTCGCTCAGTGCGAGTCTCTCCGCTACAAGCTCCTCAACGGTCTTGCCGTCCGCCGTGCCTGCTACGGTGTCCTCAGATTCATCATGGAGAGCGGTGCCAAGGGTTGCGAGGTCGTCGTTTCCGGAAAGCTCCGTGCTGCCCGTGCCAAGTCCATGAAGTTCACTGTACGTTCCTTCTTCGCCTGAAATCGGTCCGAAATAGCTCGTGGGATATGGTCTCGATGCAACGCTTGGATGGATGGGATATGCGACAGTGGTTGCGCCATATGGAAACACCTTCGAGCGTTGAAAAACAATCGGGACCATTTTGTCGAGCTTGAAGGAGGGATTGCAGGTTGTATGCATGGGAAGACTGTCCCGAGAGCTAACACCATTCTTCTCCGCAGGACGGTTTCATGATCCACTCCGGTCAGCCCGCCAAGGAGTTCATCGACAGCGCCACCCGCCACGTCCTCCTCCGCCAGGGTGTCCTCGGTATCAAGGTCAAGATCATGCGCGGTTCCGACCCCGAGGGCAAGGCCGGCCCCCAGAAGACCCTCCCCGATTCCGTCACCATCATTGAGCCCAAGGAGGAGCAGCCCATCCTCCAGCCCGTCAGCCAGGACTACGGTGCCAAGGCCCTTGCCGCCCAGCAGGCCGCTGAGCAGCAGCGTCTTGCCGAGCAGCAGGCCGCCGAGGGTCAGGAGGGTGCCGCCGCCCCTGCTGAGTTCTCCCAGGAGTAAAGAAAAAAAAAGAAATGCATTTCCCTTTTTTTTAATCTCTTGTTAGGCCCAGCTCAAAACTTTTTCTTCTCTTCTTCGTTATCCTGTTCGACCTACCTAAATCTCTCTTACCTGACGTCAAATAAACAACTACATGACTATACCATTCTTCCATAAAAAGAAGCGTGTTTGTTTCCCTCCCTCTCCCCTTGCTGCAGACATGTGGTGAGCGGGAGGCCGGGAGGGCGTCAGTCCTCTCTTAAAACATACCCTCTCCTGTCCTTAATTACCTCTCTCGATACGACTTTCCCCCCGAGTTGATATGGCCTAGGTAGGAAAGACAGAAGAACAAGGAAAGATATATGAACAAGTCAAAAGAAATTCATGTCCGCAACGAGTTCTAGCCAATATTCTTGGTTCCCCACTTGCGTATGCCTCCCGCGGTGAACAATAAACCTGTCTAGAGGTCACCTACCAAGTAGCTTAGTAAATGCTTAATTTGCTTCGAAGGTCCTGTAACCCGGCTCGTGCCTTGGCGTAAATTTTGGTGCGGTTAGGACGGGCCAACTGACTGTTATTCAACTCAGTCAGGGAAATACCCACCCATACATACATTCTAGGACCTGGGCACCTAAGTGTATATTTTATAATCTCCAGTGTGCTTCTTGGAATTGACTTTTTGGTCTTTGTATTCATTCTAAACAATGATTTCTTATCTCGTGATATCAGCTCTCTCTCCCATATGCATAACCAGTAGATCTAATCTCCCAGCTCTACGTCATCTTCCAACTGATGCTCACCCGAATCATAGGAAAGCTTCAATGTTAAGCTCCAATGTGCTGACAGGGTACTTGAGTTCGTAGTTTTCCAGGACGGTGGGGTGGAGGATACCGAAGGAACCAATGACCAGCTCCTTGCCGGCTATGCGCACGTGAACGGAGGCGGCGTGGCCGGGGAAGTATGTGGGTTCTGAGGGAAAGGAAATCGCGTTAGTTTGGTTGTCGTCTTCTCATGAGTCAAACGCCCGGAGTAATACGTACCATCAAGTTCCTCGATCCAGTACTGCGAGTCGGACATGGCGGAGTTGTCGAGTCCCTCCTCGCCGGTAATGAAGGCGCTCTTCAGCATGGCCATAACGCGGTCGAGCAGACCATGGACGACCTCGAAACCACTGGTCTTACCGTACCAAGCGGCGGCGAAGTGGCGCTCGTTGCGGCTCTTGCGCTCCAGGGAGAGATCCTTGAAGGCGACGTCGCTGACCTCGAAGATCTTGATGGGAACAGCGTGGTGCTTGTTCTCGCGGATGGTCTTCAGAAGACCCGGCAGCAGGCTGGTGCGCACAACCTGGAACTCCTGAGTCTTGGGATTGGCCAGCTTGACCGCCGTGTTGCCGTCGTCCTTGCGGTTGAGCCAGCCGAAGTTCTCGTCGTGCGAACACAGAATCAGCGGCAGCACTTCGGACCAGCCGGCCATGGCGGCTTCCACGCGCACAATGTCGGTGAGCTTGTTGATCGGGAGGGGCTGGGCGATGGTGCCGGACTTGCTGGGGAAGGACCGGGGCAGGGAGTTGAAGCCGTACGCGATGGCCACATCCTCCATGATATCGGCCTGGTGGAGCACGTCCGCTCGGGTCGCAGGAATATAGACATCGAGGATGTCGGGGTTCGTCGTTGAGGGCTTGGCATCGTAGGCCATCTTCTTCAGGAGCTTGCAGATTTCCTCGGGCTTGAGTTCCAGGCCGCAGCACTGGTTGATGTAGGAGACTTCTGCCTCGGCCTTGCGAGGGCTGATGTCCGGAACGACTCGGGTTTCGTTGTTGTGCTCTGAGACGATCTTGATCGGCTCGATGCTGTATGCAATGTTAGTAATGGGTTCTCTGCATTGCTTGGCGGGCACCTACGTGAAAGGCTCAGAACAGTACTGAGAGAACATGGTCACAATCATACGGTTAACGATCTCCACTTTCGTCTTATCGAGCGCAGTGATCTCGATGAGGACATTCTTGGTGTCCAGAGTGATCTTCGAATGATCACCGTTGATAATTGGTGGTAGGGAGCAGACGGTCCTCTTGGAGTCATAAATGACGGGGTAGACGGGGGAGTCCCGGATAATGTGCAGGTACTTGCCAAGGTGCTTGTCTTTCTGTTCAAAGGATGAGTACTAAGCCCCGCTCCGTGAGTCCGCAGTGCCATGTGTCATACCTCGTAGAAGTTCATCAGCTCCTCACCATCCATTTCCTTCGTTTGGTTCAGAGGAGTGAACTTGATGTCCTTAGGGGGTAGCGCCTCATAGGTGAAAGGCCCCTGAATGGTGTCGAGGTCGTGAGTACCGATGGACACCAGCGTTCTTTGGCGCGCAAGGTTCTGGTGGAGCTTATCTTGCAGGGCAATGAAGGACTCATAGCGCGCTTGGTCGAACTTGATGTTGCGGAGAATGGCTCCGGACACCAAGGGACGGACCTTCATGGTCTATTCCATGCGATTAGTGCCCGATGCTGAGGACGTAGGCTACCAGTTGCGACTTACATCTTCCTTGACGATGATCGTCTCGAGCTGGCCATTGGCGGGCTCAACCAACTTGTAGTTGGGGACTGGCTGGCGGCCCAAAAAGATGTTGAGCATGAGGGCAATGCCCTCAAAGCACAGCATATCATACCTGCGACAATCTCAATATATGCATCTCGAGGGAAGTTCTGGAGGCATACCGGTTGGCGGGAATTTCGATCTTGAGTTGGGGGGGCTCCTGCTTTCCGTTCACAATCGGGCGCTCCTGGTTTGTAGTCTAGTATTCTTGTTTAGATTCTGCTTGGGCAATCGGATAATAAGGGTTCTTTACGTCTTCGTCGAGTTCGACACCTATATTTTAGAACAGTCAGTATAATGCCCCACGATGGCCGATCTGAGTCAACTTACCGAACTCGAAGCAAAGCTCATCGAATTCCTCGGTGGTATACCTGTGACAATTGAGTCAGCTAAAAGACTGATATTGCACGGTTGGGGGAGCGAAGTGCATACTCCCGTCCGAGCGCCTCGAAGAGGGCGGCCTTGTCGACCGAGATGGTGGGCATGATGAGGGGTTTGGGCTTCGCAGCGAAAAGAGGTTATCGATATTCAGACGAATTCGGACCAGCCTCCCATACACCGAGATTGACTGTGCAAAATCAGACCACGACGAATGCCGCGAAACAAGGCTCAACACGGAGAGTAACGGGTGGAGGCGTGACTGGATGAGCTGGTCAATAATTGTAGAGTCATATAAAGTCTTTTTGACTTGCCCGCTTGCAAAGGCGGCGGTCCATCGGAGGATTCAGCCACACTTTAGTTCCGTAGTGCACCGCCACAGGTCAATTCACCCCTCCTCCTCCTCTTCTCACTGCTTGCCCGCCTCACCAGCCACACCACCCATGCTTCCTTGAACCTCTCCCTCCTCCCAGCGTCACTTTCGTAATCTCCCCTTCCAGCTAACTAACCAACGACTGTGTTTCATCCAACCAGTACAAATCTACCACTCTTCCTTCGTCAATCTCTGACTTTTCTTATACGAGCTTCTCCCAGACTCTCCAATCCTTTTGGAGAAGTTTTCTATCTTTGACTTCGCATCCCCTCGCAATTGTCAAGGTATGCTGCTACCACTGCTATTATTGCTCAAGTGTCCTGCGGCGGCCCAAACCCCACGAAACCTCCTCCGGGGTTCTTCCTCACCACTGCTCTCATCCTCCCTTTTCCATATACCACCACCCAAGACTTCCCCCGCCCAACACCCGACACTAATCCATCCGTCATAGGTGCTCACCAATCCTTGGCCTCTTTTACGATCGCTCTCCACTTCTAGAATCACCTTGCCCTCCCGAGAAAATATTCGACTTGTTCGCGTGCAAGCGGGTCGGATAATCGCCTGAGTGAGGACGTGGATCGGTCATAACCTCACCTCTCTAGTTGTCGCTCAACACTCTACCCTAAAAGTTTTATATCATAAGCGCGATGGAGGGCCAGGGTGAAAATGACGAGCTCTACCCTATCGCCGTCCTTATTGACGAGTTGAAGGTATGATAGTCACTATTGACTGCGCTATTGTTCCCACGTGCGGGCACTGTCGGTCCTGACACTCAATCAATTCAGCACGACGATGTCCTTCTCCGTCTCAATGCCATTCACCGCCTCTCCACCATTGCCTTGGCTCTAGGGCCCGAGAGAACCCGGGACGAGCTGATCCCATTCCTCGATGGTTAGTCCCCAGGCACTGGAGATTGTCCTCGTTCATAAATGCGCCTAACCCTACATTTACAGATTCGGTTGAGGATGAAGATGAGGTCTTGACCGCCTTGAGTGAAGAGCTTGGTAACTTTACGGAATACGTTGGTGGCCCAGAGTATGGGCATGTACTTCTTTCTCCCCTCGAGAATCTGGCCGCGATCGAAGAGCCTCTGGTCAGAGAAAAGGTAGGGACTTGCAAGCGGACTCATGAGGGTCATCTATGACTCAGTCGAATCATGCTGATACCTCGACAATTAGGCCGTAGAGTCTCTCAACAAGATCGGAGAGCAGCTGTCAGAGAAACAGATCGAAGAACATTTCATTCCGATGGTTCTGCGCCTGTCGAAAGCCGACTGGTTCACCTCGAAAGTCTCCGCAACTGGCCTCTACTGTGTCCCATACAGGAAGGCTTCGCCCACACTACAGCAGACCCTCCGTCAATACTATGGAAGCCTTGTGCATGACGACACACCGATGGTGAGGAGACAGTCAGGAAACAATCTCGCCAAATTCATCAAGGAATTGAACACCCAAGTTGTTATTGATGAGATGATACCCTTGTTCCAGCATCTTGCCACCGATGAACAGGATAGCGTGCGGTTACTCACCGTGGATGTGCTTATTTCGATCGCGGAGGAGATCCCCAAGGAGCAACAGCCCAGCCATGGCGTCGTTCTCACTTCTCTGAGAAATCTGTTTGAGGACAAGAGCTGGAGAGTCAGATATATGGTTGCTGACCGTTACGAGAAGGTTTGTGGTCTACAAAACCGAGGTCAGCCGCATTTTGACTGACATAGGAATGTAGATTGCCAAAGCCGTGCACGAGGAAGTTGTCACCCGTGACATGGTTCCCTCTTTTGTCAAGCTTCTGAAGGATACGGAAGCTGAAGTCCGCACTGCTATCGCCGGCCAGATTCCAGGTATGAGAGGTCACACCATCTACCAATCTCGACGGCTAACTCCAGAACAGGATTTTGCAGCCTGATCGACCGTGATACATTGCTTAATGAGATCATGACGAGTGTGGAGGATCTCGTGTCGGATCCTTCTCAGCACGTCCGCGCAGCACTAGGAACTCAGATCAGTGGCCTTGCACCTATTCTTGGCAAGGAGGAGTAAGTACAACTATTTGTCTATGATTCGAGCGGATGGTCATTGATGCTGTCTAGGACTACTGCTCATCTCCTCCCCATGTTCCTGCAAATGCTCAAGGATGAGTTCCCTGATGTCCGTCTGCACATCATCTCCAAGCTAGAGTTGGTCAACAAAGGTGAGCGGGCTTCTGCTCAAGTGAGATACAGGCTCAATTGACTAACCATTCTAGTCATTGGCATCGACCTCCTATCTCAATCGCTACTTCCGGCTATCGTACAGCTGGCGGAAGACAAGCAATGGCGTGTCAGACTGGCTATCATCGAGTATATTCCCCTGCTTGCCAGCCAGTTGGGCGTCAAGTTCTTCGATGAGCAACTTAGCGATCTCTGCATGGGCTGGCTCGGCGACACGGTCTTCTCCATTCGTGAGGCTGCCACAACAAACTTGAGGAAGCTCACAGAGGTTTTCGGAGTCGATTGGGCCAAGGGATCCATAATTCCCAAAGTCATGGCCATGGGCCAGCACCCTAACTACCTTTACCGCATGACCACATGCTTCGCCATCTCCGTATGTGAACTATCTACTTTCTCCAGGATTCCAGTTGCTAACCTATCCTTAGACCCTTGCTCCCGTTGTATCTATGGATATCATTGAGAACTCTATTCTCCCTATCTTGGACAGACTTGTGTCGGATGAGATCCCGAACATCCGCTTCAACGTTGCCAAGTCTTACGCTGTATTGATTGATACCTTACGACGCTTGCCGGCGGAAGGAACCTTGACGGAGCTTGAAAAAGCAGGGCAGACTGCCACCCCGTCGCCGCGGGGTCAGGAACTCATCCAACAAAGAATTCTCCCTAGCCTGGAGAAGCTGCAAGGCGACGATGATGTCGATGTGCGGTACTTTGCGACTACTGCCGCTGGCGGCCACGAGGAAGTCATGCAGACTTCACCGTAGGCAACCTCCTGCGCATGCTTGCTAGCATCATGAACGCGTGAGTGGGAAATAATATCACGGCACTTGCGCTGATTTGGGTGGAATTCCAGTTTTTGTCCAACTTAGAAACAGTCAGGAGCATCTGGCTGATATGAAATGCTTTGATGGCGTTCTCCATGTAGAGTCTTCTTGGTCGACGATCAATAATCCTGCAAAATCAGATCCCGGTACCTTTTTATTTTCTAATCGCGCATTGTGAGTTCTTTTGTTTGAGTCAGACAATTAACTCGAATGATAAAGGGGTAATCAAGCTCGGTGTCCTAGATATCATGTGATTCCACGTGTAATTCCGTAAAGCCGATGGCGCAATCGAGGCATGCATCAATTTATTGTCCAGCCAACATCCACGTGTACGCTTCGCCCTTAGAGAGCACCAGAGGCATCTGGATTGTGGTCATTATTCCCGCCAGTTTTTCCAGCCCTTCATTCCACTCTTTTGTTGACTGTCTTCCTTTGCAATTGTTTGTTGTCGACACCATGACTCTCTCGTGGCCCTGGCACTTTATCAGTCTCTCCGATGCAGAAAAACAACAGCGTCGCGAACTTTTGGACCTACGAGGGTTCTACGCTCAATGCTCAATGCTACTAGCCATTGTTCTGGTGCGATTGTATATATGGGCGTTTCAGTCTAGGTCCGAGGCTCCCAAGCCCGACCGTCGCAAGCCTCTAGCAAAGTCCTGGCTGGACTCTCCACCCTTGGCTGGATGGATCGAAACGCGACGACAATACTTGGTTTGCTCGATATGGCTCGCGTGGCTGTTAAGTCTCTGTATCTGGAATTCTGGTGAAGGTATGACTGTTTGCTTGTTACCAATTCATGCCTACATCTGAGAGCTACATTCCCGAATATTACCATTCCTGAGCCTGTGATTTGTCACAGCGCGGATAGTATTTTCGACGAGTGGGAATATCATCCATGATCAGCAGCAACTAGACCGCAGTTTGACACGAAGGTTGACACAAGTCCTGACTAACCATTCTAGACTATCTTCATCTCACCAAGTCCCTCGGGCATGTCGCTCTTTCCCAATTCCCTTTCCAGGTCTTGATGTCGCCGCCCCTTTATCTCACCTCCAAACCGGCCTCCCCTTCTCTTATCTCCATGCTCACCACCATCCCTCAACCCACCATCAACGCGTATCATCGGCTATTTGGCCGCCTGGTCATTGCCCCTCTACTGGTTGGTCATGCCCTTCTCTATGACTCTTTCTTTCTGCAGTCTAGCCACCCGGACTATGGGACCTTGTTCCTGAAGCGCATCCGCGACGCCGACGTCCAGTGGGGAATCCTGGGCGTGGTTGCGGTCACGTCGGTGGTACTGTTCACTCGTCCTGCGGTGAAGCCTCGGTGGGCACTGAGCTTAAGGAGCGGGTCAGGGTCGGCCAAGATGAGGCAGCAGGTCTTTTGGACGGTGCATGTAGGCCTGGTTGTAGTCTTGGGGTTTGCGGCTTATTTGCATGTCGAGTGGGCGAGGATCTACATGATAGAGGGCTTGGTAGGGAGCATGGCTAATGTGGGTTGTGGGTTGTTGCTTTGAAGGTGGTCGAGTGTGGGTTAGGGGTTGTGGTAGGTTGGGTTTCGCATCTGTGTAAGTAGTAGTATTTATTGTGGTGTTTGCGCGGATGAGATTTGTGAATCAATGGATCGCGTGATTCGCGAATTCCTTTGAGAATACCACCGTCCTCTTGACCAACATGCGCAAGACAATGGATGATAATTCTATATAGATCGCAAGTGCATCGATAGTATCATGGATGGATTGATTGTACGGGCAACGGATGGGCCAGGCCTACGTAACCTTGATTGGTCTGTGCTCCAGTCTTTGATCGCGATTGCCCGAGGGACCGCCTCAATACATCATGAATAAGTAGGTACTAGTACCTTACTTTATCCAACGCTCGCTTTTCACTCCTCATTAAGGACTTATTCTTGCAATGATTGGCCCCTGAAAGCTGCCGATCTGAGGATTCTATATATCTCAACCTTCTTGGACTTGTCTTGCGGTGAGCAACCTTGAGTTGTGAAGAAGAGCTTCAATCGGCACTGCAATTCCACCCACTTTCCCGCAGTGTTTATAAACAAACACACTGCCAACTACTGACTCAAGCTGAGATTGGCCTCTCTTTAATGCACGGATTTCAGAAGACAGCAGAATGCGATCGCAACGGGTGGTAGTTTGGCTAGGAACCTTCATCTTCGTGTCTCTCATTTTGATCTTCGTACGAAGCTCCAACTCCTCGCCAGACACATCGAGCTTCTCGCCCTTGCCTGATCCCCGTCCATCAGCCGATTTGCAACGGCCCGAGCTCCCGCTAAACGAACAGCTTCTTCAGCAGTCAACGTATCACAAAGTCTCAACGCCTGCAGGAAAACATCCGATCGCTGCATTAAGCGAGAATGCAAGTCAAGAATTTGATCAAGTACGGACCCGCCAATCCAAAACTCTGTCACAGGCTGTTAAAGAATACCGCCGTCGCTATGGAATGCATCCACCTCCACACTTTGACAAGTGGTTTCAATTTGCTCAAGCCAAGGGCGTCCAATTGATAGATGAGTATGACACCATCTACCACTCCCTACTCCCATTTTGGGCCTTGGAACCAAAAACCATCCGTGGGCGGGCCCACGAGACCCTCGGCTTCGACAACTCCATGATAGGGGTCTTGGTCCGGAATGGGTCCGTTTCCCTGACCGAGGGAGGGACCGATGAACAGAAGTGGCAGCGCAGTGCTACAGCGCAGATGATCAGCAGCTTTGCAGAGTACTTACCTGACATGGACCTTGTCTTCAATGCCCACGACGAACCACGAGTGATTGTGCCGAGTGAAGACCTCCAACGGCTGGTCATGGTTGCCCGAGAGCGTGCTATTCCAGATGCGTCACTGACTGAGACGCCGAAGAATGCCTGGTCCGATCGACCGTCGGACCTCAACAAAGGCGATCGTATCGATGAAGTGCGCACCACCCGTTTCAGCCGATTCTCACATCAATCCACATGGAGTTATTCTCGATCATCATGCCCAGTTGATTCTCCCGTCCGTTCGCTTGTCGAGGACCCGGCGGATGACATCGATATGTATGCTTTGGGCGAGTTAGGATTTATCGCGAACACAACCGCCTTCACGGACATTTGCAACACTCCTTCTCTGCGGCATACATATGGATTCTTCGATCGGCCCAACACATTTGAGGTCGTTCATGATCTCTTTCCCGTCTTCTCTCAAAGCAAGATCTCGAGCTATCAGGACATACTCTACCCAAGTCCCTGGTACTATGCGGATAAGGTGCCGTATGAGGCTGCTCGGGACTTTGATTGGAACAGTAAATTAGATAAGATGTACTGGAGAGGCTCTACCACGGGAGGATACTCCCGCGCGGGAGGCTGGAGACGCCAACACCGCCAACGATTCGTGCGCAATGTGAACGCTCGGGACACAGCCAACGTACTTACCAAGCGAGAGGATGGCCAGTGGACACCTACTGAGATCGACAGGTCATCTCTAACTGACCTCTTCGACATTCACTTCACGTACATTGGGCAATGCGACGCAGAAGACTGCACCGCGCAGAGGGAATATTTCGGGGTTGCAGAGTCGGTTGACCAGCAAGATGCTTGGGCGAATCGACACTTGGTTGACATTGATGGCAATGCTTTCAGTGGTCGTTTCTATGCGTTCCTACGAAGCAAAAGCTTAGTGTATAAGATCTCCATCTTCCGAGAATGGCATGATGAGTGGCTCAAACCCTGGGCTCACTATGTTCCCTTGCGCTTGACCGGAGATGATTATCTGGAAGCTGTCCGTTATTTCACCGAGGATGAGGAGGGCGCAACCACAGCCCCGAGGATTGCCCAGAACAGCCGTGAGTGGGCTCACAAAGCTCTTCGCTCAGACGATATGGAAGTCTGGTTCTTCAGGCTGTTGCTAGAGTAAGTTTGCGCCTCATTGCGTGCATCTGCAGCTGCTGACCATCGGATGTGTGTTGACCAGGTATGGACGTCTTGTCGATGACAACAGGCGGAACCTGGGGTTCTCGCTGTAGCCTGCCTATGTCTTATCATCATGTTGCCTCTTTTTGATTTACAGTATTCGTATTCTTTATGATATCCCCGAGCGTTCCATTATTTGGTCGGTTGCTACGGCTTTTCCGATTGAATGTCACGTGTTTGTGTTTGACTCTGCAGACATACGTTAGACATACACCGTGGGGATCAAATTGACGCCATACTGGGTCACACTAGGCAAATATTTCTACCCACGAAAAAGAACTTCATAATGATACCTGGGTTCATCCAGGCACCTTCGCTAAGGACCTCACCACTGCTCGGTGGCTTTCATAATATCTCTGGAAACCTCCCTGTTTTATTCATGAAGGCTCTTCGGTCTGAAATGCACAAAAAGGGTGCATCTGAGTGAAACAAGTGCCGGGGCAGTCGGGGATTATTACGTAGTGGATGGCAGCTTTTCCCACTGAAAAATCGCATGTGGGTGGATTCCAAGTGGGCAACAGCGGGCCAACGGCCCAGCGGCGCACCATGACTGGCAGCGGCGAACACTAAGCAGACCATCCCATCCACGGGTGGCTAATTTAGTGCCCGTTACTGTCTAAGTAGATTAGGAGAAGGAGCTTCAGTTCTTTACCTTGGATGATTTACCTCGGAGCTTTTTTTTCTTCTTCAATGCACCCTTATCAGCCGGTGTCTTGTCTTCTCTTCTTTTGATTCAGTCCCTTCTTTGCCCCTTCTTCTTTGGTCTTTTTCTTCTTCTTACATCGTTACTATACGCACTATATTATAACATCCCCTTCAGACCTCTGTCCTTTGAAGCCCGCCTGGGCAGATTCAAGGCATAGTTCAGTCAGTCACCATGGCAGCCTCTCTACTTGGCATCGTGGAGTCAGGCGTGATCTTCTTCTATGGACTCTTCAGCCTCGGACTTTATGGACTTCGTGCTGTGACTACGGGTTATTTCTTCAGGCAAACTACGGAGAAGGAGTCCCTCGAACTGCAACTCGGTAAGAACCGATTTCTTCTAAGAGCCTGATCACGTATAGTACTTGTCTCGTTCAGTGCTCACCGCGTTCTTTCGGTACCATCGCAGCTCGCAATCGACTCTGGGACCTTTCACAGAGCTGGGCAGGCTTTCGTCACCATATCCTTACCCTGCGCAGCGGGTTCAAATTTCACTATGTCTGCAATGACGGCCCCGGACATCAGCCCGCCACCGATTTACAAAGGCCGCTGGTGGTGTTCATCCACGGGTTTCCCGATAGCTGGGCTATCTGGCGCCACATTCTTGCCTCACCTTCCCTCCAACATACTGCAACCCTAGTTGCGGTCGACTTGCCCGGTTATGGAGGCAGCGATCGGCTTGAGCGATACTCTGCAACGAAGGTGCTCGAGAATCTGACGGAATTTGTGATTGCAATTCGAGCCAAATATGGTGCCGACACAGATACTACGGCGCGGCAGCGTAAGGTTATTATTGTTGGACATGACTGGGGTTGTGTGCTCTCGACCCGCCTGGCTTCCGAGGCTCCTCAACTGGCAGACCGCTTTATCTTGACGAATGGCCCAATTGTACGTTTGCCCTCTAAGAGTACCATGTCAATTCCACCCAATCTAACAGCCTGTAGCCTGGCCTCGCCCAGGCCAACATTGCCCGCCGCCTGTCTTCATCGCTGAAGATGCTCAAGACGGCACTGCGTGACCCGATCCACTCCCGCGCGACGCTTTGGAAAGTGGTCCACACTCTGCAGCCCGTTGGCCGACAATTGCTTCGATCCGGATACATTTTCGCGATGAAGTTGCCTTTGTTCCTGGTTCGATATCTGGGCCGAGGCGGCAATTACTCGTTCCTGAAGCTCGTGCACCGCTCTTCGTACGGCCAACATGAGTTTAGCCCTCGGGATGCTGCAGAGTGCATGGCTAGCACTGTAGGCCCGTCCATGGCGGAGTGCGAAACCCAAACCGCCGAGGGCGACACGTATCCTGCGGCCATAAAAGCCGACCGTGGGCAATTGAGCTTCCAGCACATGACTGCCTACTACCGGGACAACACGGCGTTCGGGCGCTGGAACAAGTCGATCGAGACGATTGCGCACCTGCACAGCATTGAAGATGCAAAGGTGGCCCACCGCACCAGCAGCGGAGCTGGTCTATTTGCCGATGGACCCAAGGGGTCCTTGAAAGCTAGTGCAACCATCATTTGGGGCAAAGCCGATATAGCGTTGGAGCCTGCTTTGTGCCTGGATGGTATTTCGGACTATCTCGTACGAGATAGCCAAGTCATCGTGGTGCCGGGTCTGGGCCACTTTACCCCCTTGGAGCGACAAGGTCAGCTTGCCTTGGAGAAAGCCCTGGAATGGACGGGCAATGGTGAGAAGGAAGACATTGGAGCAGTCTTGCAGAAGTGTTCTCCCAAGGCCGAGATGACTGCTCGCAAATAGGATTTAGACGGGTACATATTGAAGCGGATCCTCAATTGTGCCTTGACTCTTTGGTTCTCTCTGGCTTATCTATCACTGACTCGACATTCATGTAAATTAAGTCTAAACTTCGGCTCATACGGTCACATTCTTATAACCGAACTAGTATAGACTATAACCTGACTCTTCTTACAAGGATACTTCACATCGTGCTGCTCTTTGGATTGTACAGTACGTGCATGAGAGAGCTTCAGGACTCAGGAGAAACCTGCATTGGGCCAAAATCAAGGTACTGCAAGGGGGGTGGGGGTAAACGGAAAGAAAGTCAATTGGGATTCGAGACTTGGTGAGGATCTGGGTCTGCTGCTACACAACACCTTCTCTAGCGCTGACAGGATCGGGAAAATGAGATCGATGATTATTATTGAATAGATTCAAAGGGGCTTGGTGTCAAACTGGCACCGTGTCAGTGCTGGGTGTGAGCGGGGGTGTTGTTATGATGGATTAATTGCGAGACTCGGCCGCGTGCAGCTACTACTTCTGAAGTACTCACCAAGCTGTCTTAGTGCTTGCTGCTATTAGTTTAGCCCGAGTGTTTATTCCCTGTTCCCACTTCCCACTTTTCCCGTCCCCCGTCATCTCTCCATCTGTCTCTCAGTGTCCAATCTCCCAGCCTTAATTGACCTGAGCTGGGAAGCATCCAGAGCTCGTGCCACACCTGCCTTTCAACTCCCTACTTTATCATATCCACTCGTTCAATTCCATGTAACTCGAGGAAGAAAGGAATATGGCGTCGTGGTGATGAGGTTCGATGCCGATTGGGGTAACCAAGCGTTGGAGCTGTTCGTCTATGCGGGCGGGCGGGGGGTTTTAGTCTCCCCTAACGTCAGTCAATCTTTCTGTTGAGTGAGGGGAGATCCTCGTTCTCCTCCTCCGCACCCGTACTACTTGACTTTACTTACTACTACGTACTAACTAAGTAAGTAACCTACTGACGACGACCCCGACGCACCTCCAGAAAAAAAGGTGTACCTCGTGCCCCAAGCTCCTTTCTTTTCCTTTTTGTCATTTCTTTTTCCTTTCTCTTACCCTCACCCTCATTTTCGTTGTATTTCATCGCATTTTGATCGCCATACTTCCACTAATAGTTGATCCATTCTCCGGACTGCGCGGCGCCGACCACTTGCCGCAATGGCACTCACCGAAAGCGCTGTGTATTGCACGGTATGTCCCACCTCACTTGTTTGTACCTTGCCCGTTTCCAGCTCTGTCGGCCCAGTCGCTGATTGTCCGTGCCAATTGAACAGCTCCTGTTGAGTGATCATTATCTTCCGGGTATTCTAATGGCGCCTTTTTCACCAAAACACTGCTTGGATCGTTCTCTCTGATTGTCCGATCTTCCTTTCCTATAGGTGCCGTGGTTCTTGCACATTCTCTGCGCGACAATGGGTCAACAGCTAGGCTGGTGGCGCTCTACACACCCGATAGCTTACAGCCGGCCACCATTCAGGAACTCGAGGTATGAGGTTCTTGTATCTCTCTTTCCCCCTCTTTTTGACCTATCTTGGTGAGCTTGTTTGCAAAGGTCGCTCGTAGAGCTCGAATGGAACGCCGTTAATAGGGTTCACGATTTAGATTATATACGACGAACTAATCCCTGTGAATCCGCTGACGAACCTAACCCCGGCGAACCTATGGCTTATGGACCGACCGGACCTGATCGCCACATTCACTAAGATCGAGCTATGGCGCCAAACACAGTTTAAGCGCATCGTCTATCTCGACTGCGATATCGTCGCGGTCAGAGCCCCCGATGAGCTATTGGAGTTGGATGTCGAGTTCGCAGCCGCCCCAGATGTGGGCTGGCCTGATTGTTTCAATAGCGGTGTCATGGTGCTTCGTCCCAACTTGCAGGATTACTTTGCGCTGAGAGCGCTTGCTGAGCGGGGCATCAGTTTCGATGGCGCTGATCAGGGATTGCTGAACATGCACTTTCGTGATTGGCATCGGCTAAGCTTCACGTACAATTGCACTCCAAGTGCCAATTACCAGTACATCCCGGCCTACAACCATTTTCAAAGTACTATCAGTATGATTCATTTCATTGGCGCTCAGAAGCCGTGGAATATGGGCCGGCAGGTGCAACCTGTGGACTCTCCATACAACAAATTACTGGGACGTTGGTGGGCTGTGTATGATAGTCACTATCGTCCTGTTGTGAGCGTGAGTATCTGCTCTGCGTACTCGAAGTCTAGAGGACTAACGGTGGTGCAGATACCTGTTGACGTGTCTGGGAAGAAGTTCCTTTTCCAGAATACCCAATTGGGAAACTCTGCAGGTAATACAGCTGCACTACCCCATGCGCCACCTCATGAACATGCTCATGACAGCGCATCTGCTATTGCGTACCATGATACGCAGCACGCGCAACGTCCACAACCACAACAATACCAGGTGCCCCACCCAGAGCATGAACAACGAGCAGTAACCGCTCATGATACTGGCTCGGTACCTGTCCAGTCATCATATGGCGCTCCTGAGAGGTCGCATGCCCATGTTCATCAGCAAGGTCCTATTGACCCACCAAGAGGAGAGGCTCCTCATGAAGGCACCCCAAAGGGTTCGGAACCGCATCCAGTAAGACAGGGCGGTGAGTCATACTATGAAGTATCGCACCATGACAGGGAGTACCAAGGAACACCCCGTCCAGTTGAGCCCTATACCGGGCCAGCCGACCAAGGTGGATATGGCACGGCACAGGGTGGAATAGATCGTGATGATGGACAACGCGGAAGTTCGCACCACGAGGTCACACACCGCACCCAGGAACATCATTGGGAACCGCACCACGAAGCCACACATCATGGGGTGGGTCACCACGAGGGAATGCATCGTGAGATGGAACCCCAAGCGGGGCCTGTGCACGTTCCACCTCCTTTCAGGAGTGCTGTTCCGCAGTATGTACGTGGAGAGGAGCATGTGGCGGCATATATTCACCCGCATACCCATCAAACCTCCTTCTCCGTCCAGGCCAAACCAGCTCCTTATGGCAATGAAGGCAGTGGATCAGAAGCCTGGCCTGAGCAGTCACAGAGCCAAGCCCATCAGTATTACCAACCAGCAGAACCTCTTCCCGAGTCGCAGCATGGTCTACCATCACCAAAGCCAGAAGTACAACCCTCGTTTGAGCCTCCAAAGGCCGAATGGGATGCATCAAAGTACGTTTATTTGACGAGCACTGCTCGAAGGTATTGCTAACATTTCGCAGGGAGCCACCGCCCTTAAACACCAGGCCAGAGGGGTTCGCTCTGGAAACAAAGACATACACCATGTCCGAAGATCAACAACTCTTCCAGCCACCCCCATCCTACCCTGAAGCGCCTAAGAACATGTACTATGACGTCCCTAGCACCAGGCCCGAGCCAGAGAAGCTTGCGCAATTGTTCCCCTGGGAAAGCCATGCTCCCAGACCGACCCGCGTGTTCCCAGAAGACGACCAAATCTCGATAAATACTATTCCGCGGTCTCTGCTGGAATCCACGGCGGAAGAGGAACCCGGGCCGTCGCTACAGTCACGAGACACAACTTGGACATGGGCTTCTGAAGAGCCGGCTGAGTCGTGGGAACACTACACTCGCTCTAATGCATGGGACGAGGTCCCCGAGATTCAGCGCTATATATCTTCTATGCAGCAGGTTCGCAAGGGACGTGTTCAGGTTCTCACTGGGCCTTCTTCGAGCACAGAAGCAAGGGATGTCCGAATCACAGACTTTCCGAGCGAGCAAGAACGACCCAGCCTGCCCGTAACTCCGGCGCCAATACGTCGGCGACCTGGCGAACGGGCTCCCTCTGATGACGACCTACTACCCTCAGCGCAAGGCATACCAAGCCAGGAGGACTGGGTGGGTATTACGGTCGATGCCTTTCTACAACTCCTTCGAGTGACGTACTTATATTGGAAATTCACAGAATCCTTCAGCCGGCCTCGAAGAGCTTCGAATACGTCGGTCCGAAGTCTTGGATCATCCAGGTATACTTTTCGATCGGATATTGAGCAGCAGCTCGATTACTTCAGATCAAATGCCTCCTCCAGGCGAACGAACTAATGATTGATTATTTATCTTTCTTCGAGCACCGTTCCTAGCAATTGACGACCATAGTTCAGCCTTTTCTTACCGATGCGCTGTTTATCTCTTTCTGTTCTTATTCGATGAGTCAGCACCGTCTCTTTCAGTATCGCATTGTTCCTCCGTGATCATTATTGTTGAGCATTGGCATTTGTACAGTACCCCGCGTGATATTATGCATATGCATCGATAGCATTGTATGTTCTTCAGCAGGTGCAAAGTCTCCGACTATCACATGCCTTTGCATGAGGAGTTGGTTCTGCGCTTATTGTTATGTGTTATTGATCGATGTCAATCCGTGTTTTATTGTTGATGTTCGATTCGAGCCGGTCCAGGACCACGTTAGTGAGCTGTTTTGCTACAAAGCCATGCTGTTACTCGTCTATTGATCTTCTTATCTATATGATAGCCTTAAAGTTTCCGATGAAAATTTCTATCCTCGAACCAGGGAGCGCAACGATAAATAAGCAGCAACTAAGTTACCGAGTACCCAGTTGATTTCCATGTTGATTGATGCCTTGCGATGCATGGTGATGCCTGAGGCGAGAGCCCCTCCATGTGACGAGTCAACGGACGAATGAAGTGGCGGGCACAATTTCAAAAGATTGTATCTCCACCACCGTCGGAACTCTTGCGACTGACGTACCAACCAACCTCTTACACCAAGATTTTTCCCTGCGCTTCTTTCTTTTCTCTCAACCACACCCACTGCCAATTAGCGGTCGATTCGCGCCAGGCGTTCACCCGGAATAGTTCCACCAAAAGCATTGACTTTTGTCTTTTCTAATTTCTATACCATATTTTTCTATTGTTACCGCATACGAGGGGTGAAACTCGTAACCAACCGCCAAAATGTCGACCACCGTGGAAAAGGTAGGACCCTATCCCTTTTACACCCTTTGATTAGCTTCAGAGCACTTGCTAACCTTTTGACCTTTGGGATCTAGATCAAACAAATCGAAGATGAGGTTCGCGCCCAGCAAGCCCGCCCCACGACAACCGCTGCGCCAGGGAAATGTGCACACTGACCGGTCTCTTCCTTCCAGATGGCCAAGACGCAGAAGAACAAGGCTACGGCCTTTCACTTGGGTAGGATGCGCTCATCACACGAAGAGTTGATTTTGGGATTGGGCCAGGCGCTGACGAGAAGCGTGCAGGACAATTGAAGGCGAAGCTCGCAAAGCTGAAGCGAGAGCTGTTGACTCCGACCGGTGGTGGTGGCGGCGGCGGTGGTGGTAAGTATTGGCCATGTTTCTTGGTTATGCGGAATTACTGCAATGATGCTGACAAGTGTGTGTGTGTGTGTGTTTCGCAGCTGGCTTCGATGTCGCCCGTACTGGTGTTGCTAGTGTGTATGTTTACTCTCTCTCCCAGATCTGAAGGTCATTGCGATGGGATGGGGAGTATACGCGGTTATTAGGTTTACTGACATGTCTGCGGGATAGTGGCTTCATTGGTTTCCCCTCTGTGGGAAAGAGTACTCTCATGAGCAGATTGACGGGACAGCATTCGGAAGGTTGGTCTCCTTTTGCATTCCGTTTCGCTCTGGCTGTGCAAAGGGTCGCGTTTGGGCAGAGAACACCAATAGCTGACAAGGAGGACTTTTACAGCTGCCGCTTACGAGTTCACGACTTTGACGACTGTGCCTGGACAGGTGATGTACAACGGTGCGAAGATCCAGATTCTTGATCTGCCCGGTATTATTCAGGGTGCCAAGGATGGTAAGGGTCGTGGTCGTCAGGTCATTGCTGTGGCCAAAACTTGCCATCTGATCTTCATCGTGCTCGACGTCAACAAGCCGCTGCACGACAAGAAGATCATTGAGAACGAATTGGAGGGATTCGGTATCAGAATCAACAAGCAGCCCCCCAACATTGTTTTCAAGAAGAAGGACAAGGGTGGTATCGCCATCACGAGCACGGTTCCTTTGACACACATTGACAACGATGTATGTCGTCTCCTGGTCAGGGGTTTTCGGTCATAAATGCAGGTACTGATGCATCGCAGGAAATCAAAGCCGTCATGAGCGAGTACAAGATCTCTTCCGCGGATATCTCTATCAGATGCGATGCGACTATCGACGATCTCATCGATGTGTTGGAAGCCAAGAGTCGAGCCTACATTCCCGTCGTCTATGCCCTCAACAAGATTGACGCAATCACGATTCAGGAGTTGGATTTGCTGTATCGGATCCCCAACGCCTGCCCCATTAGCTCCGAGCACGGATGGAATGTGGATGAGTTGCTGGAGATGATGTGGGAGAAACTCAACTTGCGCCGGATTTACACCAAGCCCAAGGGCAAGACGCCGGATTACACGGCCCCCGTTGTTCTGAGAGCCAATGCCTGCACGGTCGAAGACTTTGTAAGGATATCCGCACGACTAGCGTCGTATCTTACTTCTAACAATCACCCCAGTGCAATGCCATTCACCGCACAATCAAGGAGCAGTTCAAGCACGCTATTGTCTATGGGCGCTCAGTCAAGCACCAACCGCAGCGTGTCGGCCTGTCACACGAGTTGGCAGATGAAGATATTGGTCCGTGCCCATTGCTTCTAGGTCTACCCGGGGAATATTAGGATCTCCAGAACTAACTCTAGTGGCTATACCACAGTGTCCATCGTCAAGCGGTAATCGAGTCCGAACGTGAATCCGACCCTCCTGGATGAGAAGTCCGCCCCCTTGAGCGGACCACCGCAGTGGCGAATCGCAGTCACGACAATGATCAATCTCGAATCGATTTGTGTATTCAAAGGGAGAGGGGGAAAGGGGAGAGGGCTTTTTGTGTTTCTCCACCTAAGTATTAAGCGCCGCCCCAAGGAAGAGCCAGGCCCTTGTGACAGATTTCCGCGAGATGGACCATAGGATTTGTGATTGGAGGGAAAGGAGGAAGAGGAAAGACGGGGCTTGCGCACGGGCGAGAAGTCCGCAGCCAAATGTCGCCCTGGGAGGGAATTACTCGTGCCTACTCGTTCGAGGGAGAATCGCCCAGAGCATGACTCAGGATGAGGTTTTCTCCCTTGATATGGTATATAGTAATCTGATGCGCAGACCCCGGTCTAGCAAAGCGGATGTCTCTGGGCGATTTGGTGAGAGGACGAATCGGACAGAGTAAGAACAAACAGGTTTTTAAGACTGGACACAAAAAGCTGGAATGTTATTCTTCTAAGGGGTTTCCACTCATTTTCTTGGGGATGAGCAAGTACTTAGGATCTGCTGATACATTATGATATCTTTTGTTGGCAAACCATCTCTATTATTCTTCATCATTTGGATGGTTATGTCTTTCTATTTTTTTTTTTTTTTTTTTTTTTTTAAGGGGGCCGGGCGGAAGAGCGAAACTCTGTTTCAACTCATATTTCCGTATTCTCTCATCTGCTTCTTCATTGCCAGGTGAGGATTTTGTGACTCTGATACCGTCCGACGGCGGACATTGGTCCTAGATCCCGGATCCTGAGGACGATTCCCCGCCTATAGAAATCCAGACTGTTGCTGCATACGTAGATCAATGCGAGACGGCATACCGTCAGTGCTGAGGAGGATGAGATCGAGCCAAATTTAGCCCCAGAGTTCACTCCATTTGATGAGGTGTCATGATAATCATCATAGCTATGATGAGGAGAAAAAGGAGGTAGTTAGCGTTTTCCCAGCAACAGCAGAGCTGCTAGTGACTGACCTGCGTCCTATAGGCTATAGTTGGTACTCCGTAGTACTGACTACCTAGTCTGGCTCCAGCTGAACTGCTACTAGCTGAACTGCCACTAGCTAAACTAGCCCGAGCTAGCGATTATGACGCACGTCCGTCCGTCTGTCTAGTACGAATCGTTCTGAATTTCATCAAACTTCAATCAACCCTTCCAATAGAGTGGAGTAGCGACTGTTTTTCTCTGGCCGGCAGGTTGTTATTTAGGAAGGGGCTGTCTCTGTGGGGATGTTTGATTGCTCTCGTTCCATCGTGTTGAGATGGCCGCTATCGGCAGACGAGGAGGGTACGTCAGGTACTACCGGTAGGTAGTAGGCACCGTACCTGGCAGATACACCCCTTTTTTGCTGGTTAGTTGCGTTGCCCGGTGTCTTATGCATTGGTATCCGTTGAGCCCGACTCCGAAGGATGGAGAAGAGAGAGAGAGAGACAGAGAGAGAGAGAGATCGGAAGGCCGAATGTACTGTGGATTGGGAGTCCTCCGTAAGCTCAACACATGCATACAGGATGGGAATCACCCACCAATGGCTATTCTACTCCCCGAGTAAGAGTAATCCGAAATTATGGTTTTTATAAGGAGAGAGTGAATGGGTACCCTTGTACCATTTGCTTGTATAATAATAGACCCAGGGGAGGGCAGAGGGTTGGCAAACCGGAAATTGCATCCTGTGAATGATGAGGAGCGATAATGGCTCTGGATGCGTTTCCATCTAATATGGGTTTACGGCATCAGAGTGCATGTGCTATTTCGGGAGGGGGGGGAGGGGGGTCTCCTTCATAGGGAGAGGATTTGTGCCTGGCAGATAATGGGGGTCTGAGGGTTCTTGGAGCGGGGTTTTCTTGATCTCATATATTGTACCTTAGGTAGGTAGGTAGAATATTACTAGTTCTTATCTTGGCTCGTGCAGCTTGTTGTGTGTGCTCTGTAAGTATACTTTGTCTGCACGCAGGGTGAGAATAGCTTCGATCAGAATGTACTCGGGTGGGGTTCCTTTAAATCCAGACGTATAGCTGCCTCAGGCTGAAGCTAATCGATTTTATTCAAACTGCGTTGCTGGATAGTCAATTCCAGTCTGTAGACTCTTGTCAGTCTGCGCCATGATGAAAGTAGTATGCACGATAGTGGTAAGTCATCTCTCCCTCGCCTGCTTCTTTCTTCTCTTGTAGTAGTTGATTGATTCATTGAGTGGTTTTCCTTCGCGTCGTGCGGCCGGGTCCGAAAAATGGCAATCATTAACTTGATGATTCGATGGGGTAGAGGCTTCAACTCAGGGTCTTTCATTGGTAGGGGGAGAGGTTGATGCTGGGAACTGATACTACAATCCATGTATACTGTACTAGTCAGCTGCCAGGTAAGGTATTTACCGGAATCTAGTATTGTCTTGTAAGGTCACTGGTCTCCAAGGATTGGTTGGTCCTGAGTAAGTTGGTGCCATTGGGCTGATTGCTTGGGAGTGGAGGGGATGTATACTGTAACAATCATGGGATTATGCTCGTAGTGGGGATGGAGTTGCGTTCTCGAGTAAAAGGAGACGATGATGAAAGTGCATTGTAGTACAGAGTCTGTGGGGTTTAGGCTTGACTTTATGTTGGAGTTGGAGTTGTGGGTCGTAGATGTGGTTGTAGATAGTGTGGTTGGTCTTGGTTGTGGTGTGGTTACCTACGGTTGATGATCATTATACAGTAGGTGGTCGTAGCTGGCGGATAGCAAGTAGGGTGGGCAAAGTCGTAGTTCGGACCAGTCCTTCGATTTTCTTTGGTCATAAGTTATTTGCTGCTACTACTGCTACCGCTGGTTATACTACCCTAAGAAGCTACGGCGTGCGATTTCTCTCTATTCCTCGGTGACTACTTGCTGTGATACAGCACCTCTCACTCTGGCTTCTCTAGCGAGGTCACAGCCATTAGTGATGCCAGATATAGATCGATTTCAGAAAGGTGGCTGCCGGCTTTGGCTCCCTCCATGTGTCCGGTCCTCGATCTACCCGATGCATTTGGACTGATCACAAGAGCGCCTTGGAAAGAAGACATCATGTTCATGGCTCATGCACGAGGGTGGGAATCGACAGGGGAGGGTCTGTAATCCTGATGAACCAGGATATGCTATCGAGAAAGAAGCGGTCTGCAATTCCTGGGAGACCCAGGTCCGGAGTGCATGTCGCCATCGGATCGTTGGGTGGGTTTTCTTCCTTTCTTTCTACACAGTATGCAATTCATTTGTATGAGTGAAGTCGGGTGAGTAGTGGCGAGGTTACTTGTCGGGCGATGACTACTGCGTACAGTTCGATTGAAGCAGCGTAGGTGAACTGGAAGAAGTCCTTTCGAGCATCCAGGATAGTGGAGAACAACTTCACTCTCTCACCTCTTCTTCAGACTCGAGACACTGAGGTGAGATTTTGCTGGGTCAGCTGACCGATCAAGCACCGAAACGTTGTCTTCCCATCCCCCCGGACTGGTGGAGGCTGCATTGGACTGCATGTATTCTGTTAACTTACCCTTTTTCCCTCCTCTTTCTTTCCATCCGATTTGTCACTGATAGCCTCTTCATCTGCAGCTGCTCAAGCTTACCTACCTTCTGTCTGGCTTTTCAAGCAACAATCAGCTCCTCTAACCCCCGTTGACCCGGTCCACTCTCTCCAGTCTTCCATTTTTGTCCTGGATATCGCGGATGTCGCCGATGTCGCCCGGACTAGATACTGCCACACAAACCGCCATGGCTTGGGGCTGGTTGATCTCACACCGTCTGACTGCAAGGGCGAAACAAAGAAGTACTCTGCGGTCGCGTTCGCAAACCGGCTGGTTGGGAAAAAAAAATGCTTGGATTGCTTGACACCAACTACGGCTACGGCGTACTGCGACTACAAAGAAAAGAAGAAGATGATGGTGGCGACGGTGGTGGTGATGATGACGAACCCACGATGCGCGAATACGGGCTTAGGATTTGAGCTCCTGCATTGCCCTTGCTGGTTTGGGGAGGAGAGGGGGTTAATTTGGATCTGGGCAACATCGGCTGCAGTAGTCTTGTCGAACTGGAATTAGTTCCCTGCATTCTCCCTCAGAATCTCGCAAATCTCCACCCTTGGCCCTCAGATCTCCTCCTCACCTCACCACACCGCCGCAGCGGAGTTCGCCCGCCTGATGTCATCCTTCATTTTCCCGCGACTTCGGGTTACTTCCGTTTCATTTCAACGGGCTTTTTTCTCACCTCCCTTGGTACGAATGGAACCCATCGCCTGTGCGCGCCATCTTCAATCGGCGCGTGCGCGGCTGCTTGGAACCGGGACCGGACGGGCAGCCCCGGGTGACGGAGATGAACTTATCAACCACACACCTGCTGATACTACTTGTTACCTCCCGAATCCGGGAGAGGCAGGGGAAGAGAGATCGATGCATGCCCGTCGCAGTGAGACGTCGCTTCTGCAAAGTACCTGGTACACGTTACATATGCGATTAAGAACACGGCAGAAGCCTTCCGGCATCTGCAATGGCTTCTCGTACCTGACAGATGTCGACTGCTCTGGCCTTGTAGAACGGTAAGGCTATCATGACCCCCTCCAACGATCTCATTCGGTGCCTGACGTCGCACCACTTTTCCCAACCTTGTCCATGCAGAGAGCCCTGAGTCTCAGCAGATCCCATCGGGCCAATCACACGCCCGCCTGGCATATTAATTAGCGCCCTTCTTTACTCCCTTTGGGCCCCCCCCTTCGTCGCCTCCCTTTGCCTTCTCTCTTCTTTTTCCCGAGGCCTGTCTTTCTTCTGTCTGTCGGGCCTGTCCAACCCTCGCCTTGGTATGTCTGTAACCTCCGGTTGCGTGGAATATTGGCCAGTCGGAATTGCTCTATCATAAGCCGAATGGGCGTGTAATATGGAATGACGTATCTTCGGATTGTTTGGTCGATTTGCGCGCGCTGGGAACTGAAGTGGGTTCTCTTCTGATGATTGTCTCTAACAATCACGACCTCTCTTTCTCTCTATCCGATTGTCAAACTTGCATTGTTCTCGCTGGCGGGATGAAGTTGAGAACAAGCAAGCACTCAAGCAGATGACCCCTCTTGAGGTATAGTACAGTACGATACCTGCTGCCCACTGGAACAACAATAAGATCGGTTCCATGGATTAGATAAAGCCATCGACTCCTTCATGTGGGGAAGTAAGCGAAAATGATGATGATAGGTACGAGATTCATACGAATGTCTTTCATAAGCATCAGTCATGAAAGGATATGTATTACATACAATCACTTAGTTACTCTAATTGACAGCAGCAGCAGCCCTCGTGGTGTCTCATCCGAACAAGCGGGGCGGATTCACCCAGCAGTGATTCAGAGTCACGTTTTTTTTTTCCCGCCTTCTCCTCCCTCCGTCCCGTCCGTCACCCCAACTGCCTAAGACCGGTTAGCACTTGGAAACTTTAGGTACCAGCCCCCCCCCTTTTTTAGTTAGTACCAATACGGTGTGCTGTTTGAAAGCCCCGGTAAGGCTGCTCTTGCATGAAAGACATGTCGGATGCCGTGGAGACCATCCAGGGTATACGGGCAGAAAAATTGAGGGAGGGTTGTACCAGCTAGGTAGACTTTCCCTTGTGCGCACTGCATTGCGTACAGGCAAAAGAGAAATTTGCACGTTCGAATCATTGTTATCGGCAGACATATTGGGAAGAGGAACAATCGAGAATATCTTAAGAGTAAGTACTAGGTATTCTGAGTGATCTTCTGCTCCAATCAGTGGCGGGTCGATGATGCCCAGTAATTTTTCCCCTGCTTGCCATGATTCGCAGTGGCCAGAACGCTAAACCGGAAGTAGGAAGAGTTTTGCCCTCCGTCGAGTCGAATCATTCATGTCCGATCCCTATCTTGAAATCTTCACGTTCAACACCTCCCCAGAAAAGAAGAACCCTGTCCGGTGGTGCCAATATGACAGCTCCAGTTGCTTCATTGACTAGTACAGTATCAGCGGGAAATCGATCCTTTGTCGTCATAAGTGGCCCCGACTCATGTAGCTCGCTATTTTGAAGTGTCTCTTCTATTATGTATGATTATTAGTATCTATTGAGGGTGGTGCTCGAATTATGAGATTGGGAGAATAATACCGTACCTTTTCACTTAGTTCCAATGGACCGACTCCGTACATAGTACTCCGTGCACAGTATAAATTAATTACAATATAGTATTGCTTAGGTTGCCGGGCCGGGGTGGACCACTGCGGGTACCAGAAGTGGACCGTGAAGGGGTCAGAGCTCCCTTTCCCTTTACTTTTACTTTCCTCTCTTCGTCGGCTCTCAATGTCGGTGCTGAACGGAACCTTACCCAGTCGAGGGTAGGAACCGATTCAATTATCGCTTCCCACCAAGCCCCCACCCCCCGCCAAAAGCCTGCTTCCCAGCTCCATCATCTAAAGCCTGACCGAGCCATGCCCGTCTGTGCTTATCGTGATAGGATCAAGACCCTTGTCTAGCCTACGCATACTCAAGTTATGAGAACGAAATATCGACCTACGACGTATCATTTCCCCTGCCGTATCTCCTGACGGTTTTCGCGTGACAAATGACCGTGCAGATCGCCCTTTTCCCGCTGCTCTGACTGGACTCACTGGAGTGATTAACCTGCCCATACAGCTTCAAGGTTCCATGGGTTGGTTGGTTGCATGAATTGACGACCCAGATGGGGTCGTTCGGCGCAGTCGTCGTCTCAATAACGAGATCTTCTGTACGGAGTAGTATATACGAGCTAGTATCGGGGAGCCCACCTTCTAAATAGTTACATACCGGTACGCCCAAGTGCACTCCTCCCTCCTCTGCTCATGAAGCTCGGAACCGAAGGCGAACTGACATTCTATGATGTCCTCCCCATTGGCCTCGTTCTCCTTGGGCTTTTATTCTTCTCAGGGCAGGCACTGCCATTTTCCCGAGGATCCGTGCTCTGATGAAGGGGGACCTTCGCCTCTCGACCCTTTCCTCATCAGCTTACCCCTGGCCCACTTCTTCACCGAGTGAAGGTGAGCAGCAAACCTGACCACCTAGTTGGGTGCGGGCAAAAATCCACCACCATCCGCAAAGATGAAAATCCCACGCAGATGGCCAGCTGGGAAGATTTAAAAACAATGGACAAGCTGTTGTGAGACCGTCGCTTAGTAGTAAGAGACTATCGAGGACGGGTTCCGCGCCGTCTCAGGGCCCGCAAGGCCTTTCATCCTGTATGTCATGCGGGCAATTAGGTTCAGCGGTTCTCGATCCGCTCCCCGTCCGTCGATGGGAACCATGGTTGATCAACAAGAACTCTTTACGAGAAGCGGGCATCTTTTCCATGATGTACGTCCCGAGGTAGATCTGCTCGGTCTATCCTTTTTCCCATGGGCTGTCTCTCTCCAACACATTATTCATCCACCCGGGCCGCGCTGAACTCACGGGAGCTTATGGTGTGAGGTGCGGATTATGTTGTCCATCTCGGGCTTGTCTCCGGGCATTCGCTTAACTCAAGACTCCGAACTGTAGTAGTAGTGAAGAAAAGAGGATTGAGTATGAGGAGAGTAGGGATGAAGGGGAAACGAGCATGATTCATGGACGAATTGATCGGTTTTTGACTCCTCCATCGGACTTTTCTGGGGACTACTATGATTTGGCCTAGGAGCCTGGCTCCACCTAGGATCATTGGGGCGGGGGAAACGGCGATGGTGGGAAAAGAAGTGTGTTCCTCCCCCTTTCCCTCCCCACCACCCATTAAATGTACAGGCTTTTCCTGGACTGAATTTTGAGGGGAGGGAGGGGAGTATTATCCCTACCTATATTAGTATGACGGCAGACCGCCAAACGGTGGTTCGGATACCTGGATCCTTCCTTTGGTGTAACAGTGTCTGCTGCTGCGTGCTCCACGATGGAAATAGACCCCCAGCCGGAGGCCATGCTAGATCAAGCTCAAGCGAAGCCTGAATGCAACCTAGTATGCCCACCCGGAAACAGAAGACGTTGGCAACGGAAGGGAAAGGAGAGGGAGGGGGAGGGTGGCAGCACAGCAAAAGAAGATGAAGACTGGCTGGGCCCCGGTCGAGAGGAGAGCAAAGACTTCCATTGCTTGAATTACGTACAGTCAGTAAGCATGAACTGAAGATTACGGAGATTTACCTGACACGAGGTGGTACCAACACAATACAGGCCCTTTAGCGGTATTTGGACCCGAGAGTCGATCCCTGTCCCTCTAATCTAGATCCTGGCCAATCAGAGATGGTTTCTTCCGCATTGGACTCAATTCCGACCAGCCAATCCAGAAATGCATGCGCCATGTCTTTTTCAATTTCTTCAAATGAATCTATCAAATCTGGTCACGATTCGGAGTATACCTAGATTTCATGCATCCTCGTGTCTCTGCCACAAGAGGAACTAGCTCTGGTGCCGTGCGGTCTGGGCAGCCCAGATATGAATCGGCCATGATTCCAAAGCAAGCTTCCTCCGGAGTCCAGACTGGCGCATTGTTGCTCAAGCTGCCTTGTTCCATCTGTAAAGTTGATCAGAATCTGCCGCACAGGCTATACAGACCACTGGTTATAGACCAGAAATATTCGGGGATCCGAACCGGGTGAAAATGGATGGATAGATGAATAGATGATAGATGAAATGGACCATGCAGGTCGGGTTTTCTTGGTCTGAGATAAATAAAGTGCAGAAGAGACTGAAGGACAAATTAAATCAATAATAGACGGTTATAATCAAATGGATATCATCAATCAAACAATTTAAATGATGAACAAATAAAAGAGCCAAAAAGAAAAAGGGAAGTAAAAAAAAAAAAAAAAGAAAAGGCCAAAGTTAAACGGAGTTGCGGACGGAGACTGGACCGTTGATGGAATTTACTGACGCCTCCTCAGTTCCTCTCCTCATCTTCTCCTCACCAGTGCATCAACTCAACTACGACTTACTCGTACCGATCGTAACTTACCTCTTACCTCTTACCTTTTTCTACTACTCCGTACACTCACTTGACTGACTGACTTACTTCCTTCCTCCATTCCACTCAATCACCAACTACTACTACCTCCTCCTCTCCGCCAATTGATTGATATGTACAACAAGCTAATCGTCTGAGCTTCTCGGTCGATTCCCTGATCTTCCCTGCGGTGCCTGTGCTCTGGCCCGACCTCTATTTACTCCCTCTTTCTCTCGCTCCCTTACTACCATTTAAAAACCTCCATGCTTTCTTTTACCCACCCGCTGCGCTGCGCATGCTTGACCCGCTTTTTCGCTTGAAAGGCGACTGACTCTCCTCTACTGATACGGAGTACTAGAAACTGATTCCCTTTCCTTTCCGGCCTGTTCTTCCATGTGAACTTATATGGGCCAGACGTCTTCTGTTTTCGCCCCTCCCCTCCCCTCGGATCAGTGATATTCTTGGTCCATCTTGGGGTGGTCTATCCTATCAGACGCCAATTGTCGGGGGAGCGCAGATCTGGTGGCTCTGAAAAGTTGATACATGCGCTCTTCAGCTTCCGTCAGCGCAGCTCACTCGATCCTCCCGTTCGAGTCTGAATATGCATCACTTTTTCCCCTTGTCTTGGCCCTAGACCGTCTATTTGACTGGCTTCCCACCTATCGTTGCTTTTTCTTCCAGAGCTATTGATCAGATTTTACCTCCCCGGGTTCTTTATTCTTTAAAACCCCTTTGGGGTTGTCTAGTAGACACATACTCTGGTTGAGCACTTGTCTCAAAGCCCCCCTCCACCACTTCTGCTTCCCCTCGCCTCCTCTGATATACCTAACCCATCTCTCTCCCTTGTTCTGCCCTTTTGATTTCTTGTCTAAGAAAAATTCTCTGTCCTACCATCCTTCACCATGGAAACAGAAAGCACACATGCAACAGACAGCGAGTTTGCGCAATCACCGTGGGTGGATATGGGTGGTTTCAGTCCATCCGAGCAATCGCCCACCCTGGACTATCCAGGTTTCGGATACGGTGTCTTGCCGCTCGACGCTTCGTATGGAGTCTCAATTCCACCACCTTATGCATCATTGCCAATGACTATGACCTCCAACACATGGCCTAGCATGCTCACAACCCAGGGGCCTTTCTCGGAGGCGGGCATGCCTGCCATGCCTCTACCGCCGCCGCCGCCACCACCACCACCACCACCACAACAACAACCACCGCCCCAACAATCGCCCGCCACTGTTTCCGTTACACCTATCCAGCCGCCACGCAAGTCTTCGACCAGCGGCTCCACCCCACGGCGTACCCTCACGGATGAGGACCGACGACGAATGTGTCTCTATCATGAGGAGAACAAGACCGCTAAGCAGACCGACATTGGAGGTACAGTGTTCATGCCTATTCCTGGAATGAAGTCTCCGTCTAACCGGTTTCTCTGCAGCACTCTTTGGTGTCGAGAGAAGGTAAAGTCTGATTTGCTACTTATGGCATGCTTCAAAGCGGTCAAGCTTCCTGCTAACTCGATTGAAGTACTGTGTCCAAGGTTCTCCGTCAGAAGGAGAAATACCTTAACCCGGATGATGGCACTCGCTCACCCATTAAGCGGGCCAAAGGCAGAGTGCCAGACATCGAAAAAGCCCTTTCTAATTGGGCGAGAAATTATCAGCGCCAGGGTTACCCTCTCAACGACGAGAAGATCCGGGAAAAGGCGCTTTTCTTTGCTAGCACATGCGGCAGTCCAGATGGCAAAGAAAAAGTATTGAGTACCAGCTGGCTCGAGAAATTCAAACGCAAGTACAACCTCATGGGAGCCAAGTCCCGCAAGGGCTCCCTCAGTGCCAAGAGTGACTCGGAGAGTCCGACCTGTCTGAGCATTGACTCGGCACTGGCTTCTGCCATCCACTCTCCGACTATCCTGTCCCCCACATCGACCACGGGATTCCTCAGCCCATCCCCACTCTCGCCGATGCAAAGCAATGAGAACATCAGAGCAGAGTTCACCCATAGCTTGGCTGAGATGACGGAAGATTTTCAACATGCTCATAGCCACAGTACGACTTCGCTGGATACATCCTCGACCTTCTCCGCAGGCGTGACGAGCCCAACCTCTACCCTAGTCACCGACAGTCCTTTCACACCTACGAGCCAGTCCCTTACTTCGCCGGTGGATGGCAGCTCCAACCGACCCCGCAGCCAGACCTTTCCACTAGGCACGGCGGATCCCAGCTTGCTCTCACTTGAAGAAACCGAGGAACTGACAAAGGCCGCTCTCCGACAATCTATCCTGATGCAAGAGGCAACTTCGATGGAGGAACAGCCGGACCAAAAGATTCTGCCGGGCCTGGACACCTCGGTGGGGACGATCAAGCGCAATCGCAGCAACCCGGAAATCAAGCCCAAGACCACATACCCATCGCCATTCTCCAAGTCCACCAACGCGTCTCCCGTCAACTCACCGGGAACCCCAAGTCAAGATGAAGCGAGGAAGGCGCTGGAGTTGGTGATGAGCTATCTGAAGCAGCAACCGGCCGGCCTCGTGGCAGAAGACTATCTTACCATTGGAAAATTGATGGAAAAGCTCGAGCTCACCAAGCCATCACAAGGCACGCTTCCGGGCGGACTCACTCGAATCGACGAGCACGAAGATGTGCCTTCTCTGAACAAGAAACGAAGCATTCACAGCATGGGTTAAGCGGTACCCATTGAGACCGACAGATTCACCGGCGGTGACCCTCTTCAGACTGATGTATCATCATTCAAGGCTGCAAACCGCGCAGACCAGGGCGGAGACATACGAAGTGCAGCATTGATAGTACAAATGTTTTCCCCCCTCTTTTCTGGGTAATCTCTTGCAGTTTATTTTTTTTTCCAGCATCTTGATATCACATTTCCTTTTGTTGTTTGGGTGGCACTCTGATCTTAATTATTGCATCTCACATGCCATGTCTGGATGTTTTCATCATGGTTTTGTCTTTTCCCTATAATAACACTGTGGGAGAGGGACTGAGGGTGGGCAGACAAAAAGAAGTTACTACTTGGGATATGGTACACCAGAAGAGGGCAACCTCAATCATCATACATACGGGAAAGGCAACTCGGTGGGAACGGGATTTCGGGGTGTTTGAGGATATCAACTTGTATGTGTGTGTGTGTGTGTGTGTGTGTGTGTGTGTGTGTGTGTGTGTGTGTGTAATATCTATAATTTCGACAGGGCTTTCATTTTTCTTATTATTTTGATTATTATCTTTTCCTCAGAGCATAGAACAATCAGAGTTGGAAACTGCACTGTACGCGCAGAGAGCAGACATTTCTCCTCGATTTTGCAATCTTTTGACTACGTGTGCGTGTGTGCGTGCAATTCAGAGCCTAGACACAGTCCCCGATCTGATCTAATGGTATTGATGGCAGAAATCATGACGAAGGAAAGAACCTCAGGGGTGAGGTGAAGAGAATACTACATCATGATGGACTGTGTTGTATTCTCATTGGTGCAATGTCTGAACAGCTGCCTCATACAGTACATCGTTTTGGAGATGATGGTGACGATGATGACGATGATGTTCGCAGACTCACTCACCGCATCACTTTGCCCTGTGAATGATTCAAAATTGATGTCATCAAATCAGTTGACTACTGACCTATGTGGAGCAGTGCGACCTGATCTCGTAAGCGCCGTGTGTCCCTGGAAAGCAGCCGTGGCGCATCGCAATCGTTTCTTGGCGGATTTGAACTTTATCCTGTGTGTGTATGTATCAGGGGTCTTCTTCTATCGATAATAAGGAGGGGCATTGAAGGTACATGCTTGGTGATCTTTGAATGAGATTGACCTAGTTCTTTACTCCACTCCAAAAGAGTCAACCCCCCCCAAAAGCTTGTAGGTGAAGTACCAGATGCTGGTTGGCGCTAGCAAAGGTACTAGTACACACAACCCTGGCCTGGGCTGCGGATGCGAATGCGAATGCGAATGCGGATACTCTATGTGCCTGACTGCCTGACTGCCTGTGTGCCTGGCTGCCTGAAGCAAGTAGCCGTGCTGTCAAGATGCCCGAGATCCATCTCGCATATCTACCTACTACGGAGAAGCGATTACTGTACAACCTGTACAGGACCTTGTCATTGCCCAATCTCTATCTTGTGGAATCACACCCACAAACCCACACACCCACCCGCACACATACACACCACACACAAATGAGCTTAAAATCTCGCCTGTCATTCTTCCCCTTCCATGGGTCCAGTCCAGTCCAGTTCCAAGACACGAGATGACATGGATGACATGGATGACAGTACTAAGCACCTGGCCTAATCATTGGACTTAAACTTTCACCAATCTCGCATTAACTACACAAACTACCTACCTACTATCCATCTACCTGCCTGCCTGCTTCCCTGAAAATCTATTCCCATATCCAACCGCTAGGACCGTAACAGGGTACATGCAGGGCATCGAGCATCGTACTTTTTGTTCTTTCACACTTCGTACTAACTCCCAACAAACCCCCCCCGCCCTTTCCTGATATCGACCTTATGCTGGCGGCCTTATCAGAAAAAAAAAAAAAAAGTCTAGAAAGCCCAAGGCTTGGGCTTAGAATCTCGTCTAGACGGGGCGGCTATAAGCCAGGACTAGGCCGCGGCGAGGCGAGACGGGGCGAGACTTGCTCCTCATGCTGTACCCTCTACAAACATACAAGATAGGTTTATGGACGGGGAACGAGAGGATTACCAGCCGGCAGTGGTCTGAAGTTGCATGGCGTGGCGTGGCGTGGCGTGGCGTGGGGAGGCGAGACGAGGCGAGGCGAGGCGAGGCAGGGCGAAGTAGAGCCCGACAAGACAGGCAAGTCCCAGACAGGTCGAGTATCCAGCGACGTGCCGTGCGCGCGAGTCAGGGTAGACAGCGACAAAGGTACCGTGGCTACCTCCCCTACCAAATTACCTACGAGAGTACAATGCAATACAAGGCCGTGTCGGCATGGACCACGAAGACGAAGGATTGACAGGACAGGCCACCTAGGGTGCGAAGTCTAAACGGACATCCATGCATATCGAAACAATCAAAAATCATTACTTATCATTACTAGCTCGCGGCGGAGGACGATTGCTATGGAGTACAAGCGAAAAGAAACAAAGATCTTCCATGCAACGTAGGCCTCGTCTAGCGATACTCTATGCGGAAAAGGCCCGGGGAACTCAGTTCGCGGCCTCTGGCGAGAGGCCCCTGTCCTCCATCAGTTCAGCAAGACTACGCTCGGAGAGCTCGGGAAGAAGGTTGGTGAGAACTGCTTCGATGATTGAGTAGATCAGGTGTTTGTTGCAGTAGTCGTCCGAGAAGACATCAAGGATCTCCTCGATTGACCCGAGGAGATACTCTTCTTCTGCGTCCTCGATTGGCGCAGGTGCCGGCGACGACGATACAGAGGGCGATAGCGAAGTTTGTCTGTTTGAGGGCGAATAATCCGCTGGGCGAGTAGTGGACAAGACAACGGCCGGAACGGCGAAAAACCGCCGAACTATTGGGCGAGGCACCCGAGAGAGAATGCTGGCCGCGCAGCGTCGCTTGACAGATGCGAAATCAGATGTAGAGGGTCGCGGGTCCGGCGATAAGGGCGCTGTCACTGCAAGACCAGTCGTTGTGACGCTACTGCAAGCGTCACTTGCGCCAGCGGTGTCGCTAACAGGGTCTTTGGCGAGTGCGATAGGAGGCGTGGGAGGTTTCACAGACAGCTGCGGAGCCGATACCGCCGTGGTCGCCGCCGCCGGACGGGTGTTCAGCGGGAAAAGCGCCGCTCTGGTCGCCAGAAGCAGGTTTGGTAACAAAGCGGGGGTGAAAACATAATCCTGGATAGTCTCGTGAAAGAACCTAGTGGGGGCGAAATGTGAGAAAACCGCTGTGAGCAGGGATAAAGGGGGTCAGAAAGGGCATTGGAGACAATCTAACTCCAAAGAAGGGCAGCGGAGCACCTCGATGGTGTGGAGAAGCGGTTGACCCCGACAGACCAATATTTCACAAAGAAGCGAGGTTCTGCCTGACCACAGACACGGCAGAAGAGCTTGGGCCATTCATTGGTGCGATTGAGATACCACCAGTAATCCTGAACATGACTGCAGGAGGAAGAAGAGCAGGGCGGAACATCTTCCAGCAGGCAGGAGAGGTAAGGCAGCTCATGCGTCGGTACGGCATCTGCCCTTAGCCTCTCTCGTAACGTGTCTATATGCACCATAGAATACAGGTGGGATACAGACAGAAATCGTGTGCGAGGGATTTTGGTGATTGGCCTGAAAATTAGGCGCAGGGTAGTAATATGCCCTGGCCATGCAAATAACCCCGAAATGACCGGCCATTCAGATCAAAATCGAATCATGATCGTCGCAAATAATTTGGCATCATCACTAGTGTTTGCTTGTGGCCCAGGGGCTAAAGAGCGCCATTTGCTTGAGCAAGGGTCGATTTAGCATCCACTCCGTACTAGCCTTCGAGGATAAGGGTTGAGATGGTTCAATACCCATCCTGAATTTCTTTGCTCCTGGTTGTTGCTTTGTTTGACAGCCAGACCGTGCGTGGAGAGTACGGGACGGAAGGGCCGGTCCCGTTCCTCACCGGTCAGGAAAAGGCCGGTGCAAAAGATGAATGAGATGGGATAGAATGGCAGCGAGGGAGATTGCGGGAGGCCACATTCGACCTGACTCGGCATGTCCGACATTCAACCATAAGAGGATGGCATGACAGGTGTGGAAAGTGACCGAGGTAGGGGCTGATCAAAGCATGTCAATCAATCAATCAATCAGTCAATGAACTGATTGATTGATTGATTGAGCAATTCAGAAATTGATGAAGTCTGAAGAAGGAACGGGACGACCGGCTGGTAATGGCCGTTACGCAGGTGGTAAGATAACCGTAAGCGCCGGTCACAGTCGGTAATAAGACCACCGCTCTTGCAGGGGCGAATCATAGTTGGACGAAGGGAAATGCAGAGGTCGGGCCGTGCATCCACCGGCAGATCAAGTGATCGTTGCAGTATGCGAGCAATGCGCATCCCGTATGCATCACCCACGACCCACCGGCTCCTGCTCCGTCATCCTAAATCTTCGAATGTTGACCACCCAGTAGCATGACTTGTTCACGCCAGTGTAGATCATCATTCGGAAGTCATACCGCACCGCTTCTCCACAGGTTCAAGGTAACGCTACCATTCGCAGTGTCGATTTCGGAGGACTTGAAAAGTGCTTGGCGAAAGAGGGGAAAGGACCGGAGGGGATACTCAAGAAAAAAAAAAGGCAACTTACCTGTCAAGAACACTATCTGTGTCACCCAATTTACCTGGACCCGCCAGGATCAAGTGCTGAAGCAGGGCGAGGAATCCCCCAAGCCATGGCATCCGCCGAGGTATATCCAGGAGTTGAGCGAGCATACTGTAGAGCCGATACTTGAGCACAGGTCGCCTCGTCGAGCTCGTGCACATGCTATGTGTCTCGCTCGCTTTGCTGGTTGGTGAAGTGGAAGTCCGAGAGGAGGTCGCCAGATTCGTTGATGAAACGCGAAATAAACCTACTACAATGAAGCGTAGGGTCACATACGCGAGATACCCAAATTGCAGAATCTGCCACGTCCAGTCCGGGACTGGTACTGAGGTCGGTGGGTGTGACGAGCCTTTCAATAGCTCCTCTCGCGACGAAATTAAGCCATATTCGTGCAATCGGGAACGCTGGCGGGACTGAGCTGTGATTGCATCCTCCTGGCGACTTTCGCGCCCAGCATTATCAACCACTTTTGTGAGACTTTCCAGAATGAAGCATCCGTCACTAATTTTTCCAGCCACTGCATTGCCTAGGATAAGATCTGCCATGATATCGCCTAATATGGTCCGTAAACAAACATTCTCAAGGTCTTCCGTTGGAAGGAGGATCGCAAGCGTCCCTTGCACCAGCAACTGCCTGTATATGGATTCGACCTCTTCTTGTTGCGCGATGCTCTGGGCGTTTGACGGGCTCCGCACGGGAGAAAGACCTGGGTGAGGGTTCAAAGAATGGTAGATCTCGCGTAGCGTCGGCGATAGCTCGCTGAGTTCAGACTGTCGTTTGGCTAGCCTGTACGCTATATGATGCCATCATTCAAGTCAGCATTGAACCTCTGTCAAACAAGAGTACATAGCGAAGCAGAATACAACCACACTTACAACTAATATGCGTCTCTATCAGAGCTGGAATCTCATCGAGCACCAACTGCGCAACATCGGTTTCACGTATCCATTGCTCAAGAGCGCGGGTACAGTGCGCAATGACCTGAATGAGTTCATTGATGAAAACCTGATCCGCTGTGATTTTCGAGTACCAAGAAAGGACAAATTCCTTCACTACAATTGCTAACAGAGCGTAGAGTTGACGATCTAGTTCGTTTGAGCTTGTCAAGGGAGGCAACAGCTCTTCCAGAGGTGGGGGCGTGGAAGCACTGCCATGGTTGCCCGGCTGCGGACACAGGACGCGTCTGATCAGAGCGACAGTTGCCTTGTCGCTTGTCGCACTAGCAGTATCATCCCGAGTAGGTGTCTTGGACAATTGGGGTCGACTAGGTCTTGGTGATGCGGGCAGCGGTGGGATTGAAGAAGCCGACAACGCCGTCGACTTGGAGCTGGAGGTAGTTGGGCCAGCCTTGAGTTGCGACAGCGGATGGAGACCCGGGCGGAGAGGGTCGCTGGTCATTTCATCGCCAGTGGAAGAAGCAATACCGGATCGCTATGGTTAGAGAAGTGCGTGGTGTGGATTCAGACTGCAAGACTGTCGGATTGCCAGCCCCATCAGCTAATGCCAGCGCGTGATGGAGAGCGATGTTGATGAAGCAGCAACTACAACAGGCGGAGGGGATGACCTACGCCGCCGCCGCCGCTATTTCCTATTAGGGTAAATAGGGCTTAGGGCTTCTATAGCCCGCGATAAGGCTTATCGCCGCCACATTTCTTATCACCGCAAAGTCCCCGCATCAACGGCGCCCCCTCAAGGTGTGGTTCATCTTCTTCATCCCGCAAATCGCTACTACTGAGTCATTGCCTGCATTCTCAGTCGTTCACTGAGCGTTATTCTTTCTTCAATGGCTTCGTCTGCAGATACCCCAATTCCATTGTGGCTGGACTGTGATCCCGGTAAGTGATCCATTCTCTTGTCGCAATATACAGCAGACGTTTCTACCATTGTCTGTTTTGACCGACGTCACTAATATTTGTTGATAGGTCATGATGTGAGTGCCATTGTTATCGAAGTCTCACATTATAGACGTTCAAACTGATCAAATTCCCGTTGTTTGTATCTAGGATGCCTTCGCTATTCTTCTCGCTGCCCATCACCCCTCATTGAAGCTTCTCGGTATCACAACTATCCATGGCAACTCGTCTCTAGACAATACTACAGTCAACGCTACTCGGGTCCTGGAAGCTATCGGTCGCTCAGACGTTCCTGTTTATCCTGGAACCAAGAAGCCCTTCTGTCGGCCCGCTGTTCATGCCCCCAATATCCACGGTGAGTCTCTAAACTGAGGTCGGCTATACTACAAGCTCGTCGTGCTGACTTGGACGTGGACAGGCGACTCCGGTATCGATGGTACAGAGCTACTCCCGAAGGCGACCGCACTCCCCATCACCGACAAAAACCCCATCCTTGCGATGCGCGACGCACTCTTGGCCGAGCCCAAGGGTACGCCCTGGGTCATTGCTACCGGCACACTGACCAACGTGGCCCTGCTGTTCGCTACGTTCCCGGAAGTGGTGGATCACATTCAGGGGCTGAGCATCATGGGAGGAGCTGTTGGCAATGGCTTCACTGATGTCCCTATGAGTAGGATTGAAGGTCAGCATGACCGGATTGGAAACGTGACCCCCTTCGCCGAGTTCAACATTTACGTGCGTCTCAACACATTTCTAGTCGTCTGCTCTTCGCACTTGCTAATTCGTCCTTTACAGTGCGATCCGGAATCGTCTCAGTCCATCTTCAGTAACGCTGCCCTGGCATCCAAGACGTATCTGATTGCTCTCGACTTGACCCATCAGGTCCTGGCTAGCGAACAGGTGCGGAACCTCCTCCGCCACGGCGGGGATAATTCCTCCGTTCAGCCTTCGACCCTCCGGCAGATGCTGTATGAACTTCTCATTTTCTTTGCCTCCACGTACGAGAACGTGTTTGGACTGTCTTCAGGTCCCCCCCTACACGACCCGCTCGCCGTGGCGATCATCCTGTCCACCCTGAACCCCCTTTACGCAAAGAACCACCCTGAAAAAGCTCTTAAGTTCGATGACCACAACGGCGAGCGCTTCGCTGTCAACGTCGTCACCAACGGTCTTCACTCGAGTGATATGCAGCTGGTTGGACATCTGGGCCAAACCGTGGTTAAACCTGCACCGAACGCTGTCTGCATTCCTCGGGGCGTCGATCTCGACGCTTTCTGGAACTTGATCAATGATTGTTTGAGAAGAGCGGATGAGCTGAACGCTGCACGAAAGGTATAATCTAGATGTTCAGCATATCGGCTTCATTGCACATGGCGGTTCGAGGTGTAGATTAAGATAGAGATTCGGGTACGAGATCATCCAATTAGGATAGAAATGAGATAGATATGAATTGGATAGCATTGATCGGTTTGTTTAATTTACATCGTGACACTCTTTGGTCATTCTAGTTCTTTTCTCATTCACATTTAAACCCGTCCTACCATTCGGGGATCCTTCCATCGGCGCCATAGAACTCCTTCGGCAGCCAGGGCTCTGCATTTGCAGCGACTTGTCTGACGGTTTCCTCATCGACCTCAATTCCCAGCCCCGGCGCTGTGAGGGCGTCCACATACCTATCGTTGACCGCGAAGACCCCGGCATCCTTGACGTAGCTCGTGATATGATACTTACCCGGCTCTGTATTGTAATGCACGCCAAGACTCATCTTCGGGATGACAAAGTTCGGCGTCGCCAAGTCAACCTGCATGCACGCGCTCAGGGTATTCGACCCGAGCGGGCAGTGCGGCGCGATCGCAACATCGTAGGTTTCCGTCATCGAGGCTATCCGTCTCAGCTCCGAGATGCCACCGCAGTGAGCAATATCCGGCTGGAGAATGTCGACGCTCGCATCCCCCAAAAAGCAGTTTACATCCCAGCGACTGTACAGACTCTCCCCAAGAGCGATGGGGTTGGAGACCTGGTCGGCGAGCTGCTTAATCGCCTCGGGATGTTCGGAAAGTGAAAGCTCCTCAAGGAATAGGGGCCGATGCGACTCGAGAGCCTTGGCTAGCTGCTTGGCCATGGGCTTGTGAAGACAGCCGTGGAAGTCAAGGACGGCGTCCTAACCCAGGGCTTTGACGGTCTGGAGACGCTCGACGTACGAGTCGAGGACCCTGGGAGAATCGAGCCAGTTCACGTTCACGGTAGAAGCCCAGGCGCCACGAAATCTGCCCAATGTGCTCAATGTTGCTGTAAATTGGATTTTGTTAGGGTGTGAGGGTACGGCTTTGATCTATGAAACTCACTCGGCTCCGTAACCTTGAAAACGCTTGCAGAGGGCATTCAAAGTACCTTCCACGGCCTCAGCGTGCCCTTCCAGAATGCTCTCACCCCAGCCATAGTTTCTATCTTCACCGACCACTTGACAAATAGCCAGCGTGGAGGGACGCGGAAGTATCCAATTGACTTGATCTTGGCCATGGTGAGACTCTGGTGGAGACAGTATCTGTCTGTGAAGCTCTAGTATGGGGGGTTCACATCAGGAAGTTAAGTAATATTCACCAGCTTCAACATACATAGTCGCATCTGTGAGGAGATGTCGGAGCTGCTCCGCTTGCCAGGCCGAACAATTGACAATTTGTACCCGAATGGGGGATGGACGCTGACAGCCATTTTGAGTTGTTCTTGGCATTGCTGCATCCGAGGCTTTAGGATCCAGAGACCAGAAGATCTATATCAGATCTAGCTGCGTGATATGCTACCCTTAGGGTGCTAAGTGGGTTGCTGTCTTGCATTAGTCCAGGAATAAGCCTGAACGTGGGGATCCTCTCGGAAAAAATAAAAATTGCAAGCCATTCCTTTGTCGACTGCCAATACAAAGCTCAAGTCCAGTTCATTCATGGAATCTTGAAGACTGGAGCTTAGTTAGAGTTAGTGGCTGACTATCTTTCGATTAGAACAACAGTCGGGGCGATCGATCGATATGAGAGAGGGTTCCAACTTTGCCAAAGTGCAGGTCTAAAATGATGCCTGTCTTCCTGCGGGGAGTGAAGAGTGATGAAAAAGCTCAAATGAAAGTCTAGAACAAGCACGACTGAGTGGTGGCAAGAAGACTGGTGATGCCGTTGGCGAAGGAGAGAAGAAGACCGGATACGGCAACCCAGTGACTCCGGGCGGGTTTGCGACTTGCTCAGCATTCGACTGTGACTTCATCTCCAAACAACTCTATTCTTCCTGCAGCTGCAGCGTCATCGCTTCTCCCCCTCGTCTACACCCACGACACTTCGCTAGGGTACTACAACCTGGGCCTTTTCTTCTTCTTCAAGACCTCGCCTCTCTTCAGTGCATGCTCGAGGGCCCGCTCCAACTATTCCCCTTTCTGGCGGGCTGCCTTTCTGCCGCCACTCCACCACCACCGGCTTATTGTCGCTCTCTCAGATCATGCCCCCGGCCAACTCGCCATCTGTATGTGTGTCTCTATGCGCTCTGGTTGATTCTTTGTTATCGCTTGGGTTTGGAGAGATCCCCAGGCTCATGACCCGGTTTTGGCCGCCTTGCTCGTGCATACAACCAATGACTGGGCAGCCATTATCATCGGTCGATATCCAGGCCTATCGTGATCACAGATGGAAATTTTCACCTATACCACAATCATTTCAGAGGTGAATCTTTTGGCTACAAATCTGACTTTCGACATACAGGGAAATCCCGCCCAGTCTCCCTCTGCTGCCTCTCTCCGGTCCCTAGCAGCTAACCCCATTCCTGTACCCTCCCTCCCCGCCGCCGTGTCCGATGACGCCCATGATGATAACGTGAGCTTTCTACGATCGCGTGTACGCTCCCCGCCCGACTCATCTTCTTCGGCCAGCCGTCAGCGCCGTGGTCGACTACAGAACTTGATGGAATTCGATCTCGCCTCGTTCGACTCGGAGGACTTTTCAAATCCGCGCCTTGAAAGCAATCGTCGCATCCCGATTGTGCGCCGCCAGCGCGACACCCCTAACTCCCATCACAACTCCACTTCCAATCCCAATAGCCTTCCCAACTATGAGGGCAGGATGTCGAATCCGCGCTCGCTTTACGGGTGGGCGCCTGCCTCGGATGATGACGAGGATGAGGAAATGAGTTACGAGCCCCTGCACGACAGCAACACCGTTTCCTGGTTTGGCCGCGTTTCGGATCGATATGCTGCTTCGCGCAATGCACGCCGTGAGGCTGCCGGCCGAAGTCCACCCACGGCCACAGACGAATCCACAGACAACAATACCCGTGCCTCCAACGAGTCACCGTACACAATGGCGGACGCTTTGGTGCAGTCCATACGCCGCCAACCACGCCCCGCTCGGACTCGGACTCTGCAGAACTACTTGGTAGAACGGGAACGTGCCAGTCAGGCAGCAGACGAACTGAGGGACCGGTCTGGCACCAGTTCCACTTCGCGAGCATATCGATTTCTGCCCAGCATACGCATCGAACCCCAGCGACCCCTGACTCACAACGATCTCCGCGCTCGAATCAGTGCCCACCGACAGCTACATATGGAGAACCCGCCAAGTCCCCGCTTGAAGGAGACGATTCGCTACCTGGACCGATTACGGCATTCTACCTCTTTCGAAGAGAGCTTGATATCCGCTGCCGCCGGGGGCTTCGTCCAGCTGGACTTTCTCAATGGGGACGAAGACGATTTCATTATCGACACTACGCTGATTGCGCCGCCACCCGAATCCTCATGGCTCCGTCCTGGCATGGTATTTTCCGGGTCACAACGAGCCGCCAGCAGTGCCAGCGCGTTGTTCACACAGCGAATCGCAAGCCCCTCGTTACCTCACGATCCTCTCGTCATCAACGGCAGCGAAACTAACCGCATAAGCGTGTCCACGAGTACTGGTCGGCGATACATGGCAAACAATATCTATAACCTTGGGGGCGTCAAGGACGAGAATTGGCCCGTCAAAGTCACCATCCACCACATCAATCACGACGACATGACATTAGCCGGGACCATGGAGGCCTACAACATCCCCGACAAGACGTCTCCATCGCATGACGCTCACATCATCACGTATCTGGAGGGCGAGATCATCGACTTCAACAAGCACGGCCTGGAGACAAAGAACTTCAAGGCCGACGCCGAGATTGACAGCACATACTGGCGCGAGCTGCAGCCATTCAAGCATTTGACCGATGAAGAGATGACGCGGAACCTAGTGAGTCGCAAGTGGGTAACGGAGGCATTGTCGAAGGGATGGATCCTGATGAGATGGAAAGGTGAGTGGATCGAGAGATTATGTAGTGTAAGCGCTGGTATACTGATTGAGTTCTATAGAACGATGCTTCATCACCCCAACCGACTCACGCCAAGGTCTGACGATCTCTGGGTTCTATTACATTTCGCTGAACCGTGAAAACGGACATATTGATGGGTTGTATTACGACCCGGGCAGTTCACCGTACCAGCAGCTATCGTTGAACCCGGAGACGAGGAAGATGGTGCAGCCGTCTTACGGGTTCCGGTAGGTGTATTTCATTGGAGTTGGCGTTGGAACTGGGTTGTTTTGGAGATATGCGCATAGCCGGTGTTTGTCATATTATGCAGCAGAATCATTGGGAACGTTGGGGCAATTTCCAAGGCTGTCAAGCTACGTACATAGTCTGAATCTAGGACAGGATCTTAGTGTGTCCCGCAATTCAACATGTAAAGTCGATTAATTCAGCCATTCGTTGCCAGCTGACTCGCCCAGACTACGAACAACACCCGAAGTACAATCCATGCAAAGTTTTGAGCACCATGATCTGATTCATTTCTCCAGTATAAAACCGAAACCATCCAGCCTCATGACTAGCACGAGAACCATCCAGTCCCGCGACAGAGATATAAGAAGAGAGACCCACGCATACATGCAAACCGTCGACCGATCCGACAAGATGAATGAGATTTCCCCACCTCCCCACCAAACTACAACTCGTATAAAACCGAATTCACCCAAGTTGCAAGTGGAGACGACAAGAATTTGTGTTGTTCTGTCTTTTTTTTGCCCCCGTGCGCGCAGAAAAAAAAAATCCTCAAGACCATAGCCACTCACACCTGTTTCCAAACACCTACCCCCGTTTCCACGTGCGCCACTCTCAAGTTACCAAGACTGGGGAAATGGGGCGAGCAATGCAATGCAAATTCAACAGAATCGCACACATTTACTGCTCAGTCTGGAAGTAGTTGAGGAGGACGGAGCGCTCCTGGGACTCCTCACCCCAATCCTTAACGACGACGCAAGAGCAGTTGACGACCTTGCGGGCGTTACCCTCACGGTCGAGCTGGCCTGAATGACACAAAAAAAGTCAGCAAAAATTCAAAATTGTCAGTTTTGCGACACTCTATTGAGGCGCCGCATCACACCATCCCATGTCGATTAGGAAAAATTTTGAAGTGGGGGAAGCAGGCACATACAAAGACCAACCCACTCGCCGAGGAGCTTTCCATCGGGGACCTTGATGAGGGGGATCTTGTGCTCGGAGCACAGAGCAACGACCAGCTTCTTGTAGGCCTCCTCCTCGCAGCCCTCGTTCAGGACACACATGTGCGCCTGGCGACGGTCGAGGGCCTTGGCGGCCTCGCGCAGACCACGGGCAAGACCGTCGTGGATCAGCGAGATGCGGAGGACACCCTTGAGAGCGTCGAGGACGGACATCTGACCGCCGGCACCGGCATCGGCCGAAACCTCGACCTCATCGGCGGCAACGGGGGGGTTGGATTGGGTCTCTTCTCCGTCCGACTGTCACCACCACAAGACAAAACTGTTAGTTGGGAGATGTTCAAGTGGGCGGGGTGCGAGGTTTGGTGGTCAGGGCTGCATAGGGCAGGCATAGGTAGGCTCACCATTTTGTAGATTGTGTTGATAGACTGGTCTGTCGGATTATCCTCAAAGAGTTCGAGGTGGTTGTTCTTGTATAGGCTAGTGGTGGTGGTGGGTGCGGCCAATTTTGCGCTGCGCTCGCCTAAATGTGTGCCCTACAGAGTTTACGTAAGATGATAGGTCATGTGATAGTGTTGCACGTGACGTGGGGTTTTGATGTCTCGCGCTAGCCTTGAATGGAACCGTGCATACAACAAGTACTCCGTAGCTCACGTCGGGCCGGTCCGCCGAATGAATCCATGCTGATTATCTATGACTGCCAGCCCCAAGTTATACTAAGCGATGATAGAGGGGAAAGTACGGTTTATGTCTCACATAATTTTCGAGACACGATCCCTCTCGTATAAAAGTACGCGTCCTTGGTGTACAAATTTACTCATGGCGATCTCCATCGCAGTAACATTCTCCTTACAACCTCTCTCCCGTACCGTACTCTGGCGATTGTCGACTGGGAGCAGTCTGGCTGGCCACTCGAGTACTGGGAATCTCGCAAGGCACACTGGGCTGCTTGGGGAACGGAGGAGTGGTCAATGACCACCTGTCTAGGAGTCTAGATCAATATGGTAAGGCAGTACTTGGGATCCGTGGGACTGCTACCTGTCTGTCGACACTGGCATTCTCCACTACCGCACTACCCAACGAAACCCAAAGAACTACCGTGACAGCGCCCAGCTAGCCTTCCTCCCTGCAGAGCCAACCCCAGCCTCTCGATCTCAGGATGCAGCCGTACAAGGTGCGCGAGCACACTAAAGACAAGATTCCCACCCGCCGACTCACCACCTAGAATTACATCGGCAGGTTGGTGGTGGTTGAGGACATAGCGGAGACAACTGACTCCCTGGCGGAGCTGCGTTGGGTATGTGGCTGTCGGGGGAAAATGAATTCTTCTCCTACACGGTGTGTACCATTGTCAATTCGCTTGTTTTGTACTTTGTGGTGTGCAGTACATCTGTCCTGGTTTAATGAAGGAAAGGAAAGGAAAGGAAAGGAAAGGAAAGGAAAGGAAAGGAAAGGAAAGGAAAGGAAAGGAAAGGAAAGGAAAGGAAAGGAAAGGAAAGG